GTCGACTGGATGTGCAGGGTCGACGGCGGTGGTTGGTGGCCACGAGTCTCACCCGCACAGCTTTCCCTTAACAAAAACACGCTCAACATCGCTCAACTATGACCTGTCTGGGACCGACATTTAAACTATGTTAAATTGATTTGCCGCCCCAGATCGATCTTGGAATGAGTGCATGCCGCATGTCTATACATCTCGGTCACGGTTTTTTTCGGAGTCATGTCCTGTATCACCACGTCGTTGATGCTCAAGACTTCATCACCCTCGGCCACGCCCAAGTGCGGCGCAGCGCTCATGGCCACCACCTCCCCTGCGGGCGACAACCAGGTGCTGGGATGGATTCCGGGAAGTGAAAGATTTGAACCATCCATGATCGATATTGGAATAGTTACATACATGTTTACCCCTTTTTAAGACCCCAATGTAGGGTATTCCAGTCCGGATGGTCTGGGACTAGCCCAAGGCACACGCCCGAAAGCGGGTGGGTCGATGGTTGGAATGGACGTGGACGTGGAGAGAACGGCGTCGGATGACCATGCTCCGAACACCAGAAACAGCTTGTTGTGTGTTCCACTTTCATGATGATTCCAAGGAGTGTAGTACCTCTTGACCCAGACATGACCCTGTTTTGAGAGGAAAAACCCTATTTGGGGTGATTGGTGATCCAAATAATAGAGGTCACTCAGGTTCAAGGTGTGTGGTGGATCTATGGTTACTAGATGTTACTAGTTACTATATATAGTACAAGTTTTTTCATAGTGTATGTCTGTATGTCCTTTCGAACTGGTGTGTCTGCGAACTACTGTATATGACTGCGATTCACTAGAGCTTCGAAATGCACATCTGGTTTCTTAGTCACTTGGATTTTGACCATAAAAATTCCGTATCGAGGTACGGGGCAGTTATGCCTCGAATTTCTGGACAGTACAGCACGGGAGAGACACCTCTTCACGGTCTTCATATCACAGTGGTTTCAGAGTAGATGGCACAAACTCCTATATGTCTTTTAGATGGGTGTCCATTATAAACCACCTAACTTGGGGATTGTGCCATCGAACCTCTAAAACCATTGTAGATGTCGTGCTCTTTGCACTGTCCCATCGCTCCAGCACGCTCCCGGCCGCTTCCCTCGCTAGCTAGCGCACCTTCGGTCTGCCAAGTGCCCAAAGGAAGCTTCAGGAGCAAGTCGTTGGAGGCGCGCCAGATTTGGAGCTTGAAACCTGAGTTGCAATCAATCACCCAACCTGAGTTGCAACCTGGTTGAAACATGCTGAATCACCCAATAGAGATCGCTGTTGGGGTCCATTGGACCGTCGAAGGGGTCTGGAAGCCACGACACCACGCGTTGTCCGCCAAGCACGCGCGCGGAAAACGGATCGTTCGATGCGACCGAGCTTGGAGCTGAATTCGGGAAATCGAAGCGAAAAGGCAGCGCTGGACTTCAAAGCCAGGACCTCCTTCTCAGTCTTGCTATTTGCAAAAAACCATCCACCTGACCTTCCAGCTTCTGGCGCGGTGAAAACCGTCCGTGTCTGCTCTGGCGGGCGTTCCAGCTCTCCCCGGTCCTCGGCTCCCCGGCGTCCAGGTAAACGGCCCACTGGGATGGGCGGCGACACCTGCGAGGATCGCCGCGGCACGGGACAGACGTGTGGACGAAAACGGGAGAAGAGCAACAAGTGCCACGGAGGTTCTTGGGTTATAGAATCGATTTATGTGATTCCCTTTTGGAAAATGTGTGTATGTGATTGTGTGTGGGATCTGGCTATGTTGTGTTTGGATATATGTGGATTTTGTCTTAATGAATTGTATTGGTATATTGATGTATATTGTGTGTTTGGTATCTGGATGTGTCGGTCGGGTGTTTTTGATATGTGAGATCTGGATGGTCCTTTTGGGTGTGCTGCTATGAGAACTGCCTGAATGCTTGCGGTCGTTTTCGATGAATCTAGGAGCATGTGTTGGGATGAACGGACTATATATAGAGAACGTGTTGGAATGAAAGGACTATATATGGAACAGTATAGCACTATAGATCCACCACAGGTGTTCTTGTCAGAAATGGTGCATGGTTCATGACATCTTAGATAGGTTGAACCAGACACCCAAAGCGCCCTGGCCGGTGCTGTCTCGGCGCGGATCGGAGAACTGCCCCAAACGCCGAGCCAAGACGACCATGTCGGAGCCAAGGACTGCCCAAGTCGAGCGCGATGAAGCAAACCATCACTGTTTCCACACCCAGTTCCACCACCCATTCGGGATCCGTTTTCGTACCGAACCTCAGGTTAGGTACGACTGGACCCTCCTAACCTACATGCGAGTGTCGAACACATCACCAACCTGAGGTTCGGTACGACTGGATCCCGAATGGGCCAGTTCTGCCAAACCCAACACCGCACGCGTCGTCCGGGGCCTTCAGCATCGGAAACATCTCCTCCTGTCCGGACCGCAGGTCCACCCGCAGTTCGCATGGGCTTCTTGTTTGGTCGTGCTGGGCAAAGAGAACAGCTCAAACAACATGAAGCAGCCCAGTAATTCACAAACATTCAAGCAAAACATGCGCCAAAGGAGGGTCACAAAGACGGAAGGGCTTTTGAAGAAACCTACCAGCATTATCCTTCTATCGATACTGGGTTTGGTGTGTTTGGCGGATGTTTCTTCCCGACCCGATGCACGAACTTGGAACCGAACGAGTGTCCGATAGACTGGGAATTTATGGGATTTTTGGGGGTATATAATAAACATGTTTTTCATTGTTTTTCCCGTGGGCCCAGTGGATGATTGTGTTCAGTTGCAGGCCTTTCCTACATTGACCCCGACTTCAACCACCCCTGGCCTGATGGATGCCAGTTCCATGGAGTGTCCGGGTACTATTTCTTGCGGTATATCCCATTCCAGGCCCAGTGGATGATGATGGGGCCTAGGTACCAGGCCGAATCTCTAAAGTGTTCTTGTGCACCGACTGTCACAGGTCATGCGACATTCCCAACTATTTGGTTCTTATAGATGCTCTCAGATTCGGGGTTCGTGACTTAAAGCACACAGAATGAACCGTGCCAATGGCATTTCGATCGCCTTTCGCCAAAATGGGATGGACAAGTTGAAGTCCAAGCCCAGACCATCTATGGAATAAGATGCCAAGATTAACCCCTGAAACCCTTTTCAACCACCCCAACTGATGGGGACATCGGCCAGTCCATTGCGTCCCATGGATTAGAAAAGCACCACCCAGGAGTTGCCCTGGCACCAGCGGCCTCCTCCATCGCCGCCACTGGGTTCGGCATGGCCCGAAGATGAGACCAATGAGACGGCCCTTTCTGGGCCGGAGGATGTGTAGGAACGGAGCTTCGCGAACTGGAGTAGGTGTAGGAGGTAGGGAGCGATGTTGGAGGTAGAATCAAGCTTCAATTCGTACCCCATGTGAAGAGTTCTGTGGGCCGGGGTGCTGCACATCTCTGCTGACCAGTGACCAGTGCTGATGTCGGTTTGTGAGATGGCCATGCCAGGGTCTCTACCTTTTGAAGGGGAAGCGACATGTTGAAGGAATCAAAGCTTACTCCAAAGAGTGACAAAAACTCCCAACACTCTCCACATCCTGGATTGGTGCATGACCTGAAAATTACACTTGACAAACATATGCTACCACACGCAACAGCGGCCTGTGACCTTGAGCCAGGTGTCGGACGAGGCGATGCAACATGTCTCCGTGCTGGTTCTCAGAAAGGCACACGAAATCGGCCATCTGGGCCATTGAATCGACCGAACAGGACACGGTCGGAAAACAAGAAGCATCTCCCGATTCTCTTCTTCTCAGGGCACAAAAAGTGGTCCCCAAATAGATAGTGGCACGGTTTCCATACATTTTCAGTAATTGATCTATTTCCCCAGATAGCTGGAAGCTATAGGGGTTCTTACTTCTCTGGGGTCTATGCCGGCATAATTGTTTATCTATTTTGGAGGGCATATAGATTTGGAGTGCTTTCAGGGGTCGGCGGCAGGGTCTCTCATGTCGAAGGCCTTTTTGGCAATGTCAGCTATATAAGCGTTGGATGATCAATGAAGAAGGAACGGTTCAAAAGAGATAGCCAGGGGGAAAACACATAGCCAAGGGCCCGAATTGCGAAGTGCTGGTATGAATCCTTGTATGATTTGCCCAGTATAACCAAAAATTAAAGATGTTTTTCATTATGAGGATCACATGAAAGCATCCGAACACATCTCCACCATCTGCTTGGAACTTGCTATTTCCACAATCGCACAACTGCTCAAAAAATTGTCCAGAAGACTACACAACAGCATTGATATTTATTGCAAATCATTTACACCCAGCAGTGACAGCCTTTAAGAAACCAACACAGTAGAATTGGATGTCATTTATCTTTCAAAAACAACATCATACGCGTAATCTGCATGATAATGATTGATACTGATCAGTGATGTTCAACATGTTGTGTTTTTCTCTTACCAAACATATGTCGCATACATTTCATGCAACTGGTCGCAACCCGTTCCAATCCATCCATGTCCTTTCCGCGTTGGTTTCTGAACCAACGGGATCGCCGAGTCAAGGATCTCGGGGTCAAAGCGTCGAAACAGATTCAATGCCCCCCCCTTATACACACGTGTTGTTGAACTGGGCACCTGGGAGACCAGTGATTACCTGCAAAAACCAGGAATGTTGCATTTGTGCTCCGCCCTGCCCCCCCTCCCAATCTTCAACTGTCGCAGATCACAAAAATATCAGAATCGCACTCTCAGTCGGATGATGGTCGCTCAACAACAGCTCCTTCTGCTGGATGAACATTTCTAGCAATGACCTGGTGTTTCTTGTGGAAAAAAACAGGGGAACACCTGGACCTTCCAAAAATTAATCGGTCTACATGGGTCTACATGGCGTCTGTAGGGACTCTAGCCAGGGGTGTTGACCCATTCTCCTCTCAGTTTTCCCATGGGTTCCCCACTCGTCACTTTTCCGGCTTTCAGGCGATGAAATCCATCGAATCCGTTCAGCTCATCGCCTCCTTCGCCTCACCAAGGCGCTGGTCCTATCGTCCTTTCATCGTCCCTGCTCATCGTCCTTGGATTCTAAACTAGTTGGTGTTTTCAACCCATGTTGAAAAATATGAGTCAGAGGGTCCAATCATCCCCAAGTAAGGGTTGAAAATAAACATCTCCGAAACCATCACGTAGTTGATGATTCGTAACATGTCACATGTCCTCTGAAAAGAGGACCACTCATGACATCTCATGATGCTCATTGTTCCGCTGTGCCTGAGCCACTGCCTGAGAGGCCGTCTGCATGCCCTGGCAAGGCCAAGCCATGCGACGGGTCAGCATCGCCAAGAGTGGAGGAGAACAAAGAAAGAAACAGGTTGGACAGTGATCACCACACAATATACAATATTGCAACATCATAACTTGGTGGATCTCTTCTGTGGATCTGGAAATCAATCACCCAACAAAAAAAAGTGATGAGCAATGAGTATGATGGATATATTGACAGATCGCCTCCGATAGCAATTTGATGCAATTTGTTTGTGTCTGATGAGAGCGATGAGAGCAAGTCAAATTCCTCAATGTGCTTGACTGGTGGCAATCCAACGGCCATGTTCGATGACACCCTAGCCTTCCAAGACCATCAATAGGAAAGGTTGACCTGGTTCTGTCATGGAACATCCATACAACTTCCATGAGTGACATGAGAAGAACCTCCTCCGCTCAACTGGAATCGCTTGACACACATGTCACAACACCGGCGGCTAGGAAATGAGCTATGGGGGTGATGATGTCATGCTCGAGAAAAATTACTGATATCATCTGGTCACCATTCACCAAGTAGGATTTGGAGGAGAATCCCAAGCCATCACGCGCGACCCTTCTTGAGCCTGCTGTGCAGCCTGCGAAGCACTCGCCATGCCCTTGCGCGTGCGGCCGTGACGGCGGGGTTTGGATTTGCTGTCCAAGAACTGGGACAATTCCCCAGGAACGGGGATGAGGTCCCCATGATTTACCATCATCGGGGCAGCCCCGTGACCGTGAAGGGTCAACCCTGGGTCAACCCTGATGACCTCCCCACCCATTCCACACACTGCCTGCATTCCCGTTCGGATACGTCATGATAAGAACGACCAAGGTCGTTCCCTAAAGTGTTCCTCCATCTTCCCACCTGCTTCCCCCACCACCTGCTTTTCCACGCCCCACTCCAACTTACGGGCGGCATTGGACCCCACCTGCTGCAAGGCCGGAGCCGCCGCTGCGGACAGCTGCTGGGCCGAAGCCATGGTCTGCTCCGTCGCAGTTTGCAACTGACTGGAGGCTGACTGAAAGGCCTCCAGTGAAACACACGGGAAAAACGGTCCGCGAAATTCAAGACGCATTGAGTTCGTGGTTTTGTTATGTTCGTTTGGGAGTTTTGAGGCGCTGTGGTTCGTTGTTTTCCATGCCAGATTGATCTACTGCTGGGGCATGACCAACTGGAGCATCTACCGAAAACGTTTGAGTCATCAAGCATTCTGACTAAAATAAGCAGAATCCATGGAGTTTCTGAAGGAACGAATCTGGGGTAAACGGGCTGCTCCTGGGTGACAAATGTTGCTGAGTGTGCCGCCTGTAGCTGAGCTCACTCATTTTGGGGCTCCGACCTCGCTCCAATGATCCTTTTCGCCACCGTTCTGAACGAGGGGTCCAAAGCTTGTTCGAATGGCACAACGTAGATTCCCGTTCTGCGACCCGTCAGCTGATCTGCCAACATGTCTTGCCTGGTTCAAGTGTTGCTTTCGCAGGTTTCGCAGGTTGCTTAGGCCTCTAGAGACTCCACTGCTCGGTGACGCACCGGTACGAACGAAGCAGGTGCATGCTGAAGTCATGTCGCCATCATTCCCGCATGGCACCCAAATATTGAAGAACTACTCACATACCTTCACCTCGCTGCCCTGACGTTCAGCTGAGGTAGACACCTGCGGACGTGATATTTGGGTCCGAGCCTGGGAGTCCTGCACTTGTTGGACCAGCTCCATGAAACGCGCCAACAAGCGATCCAGCTCCTCCGTGAGAGTCAGGCGCCGCAGTTGGGGTACGACCGTCAATTGGGGGTGGCGGACCTGAGCTGAGGCGTTCACCCGGATTCTCATGAAACCCGGTGGCTCTTTTCCGTGTTTCTCTCAATAGCTGTGCATTGGGAGCACGGGACATCTGCCCACCACCCCCAGGCAGCACAGAAAGTCGTTGACCCTCCAGGCAGGGAGTGGAGAGCAGGACCAAAGGCCGCCGGTGTTAGTTCGGCCATTTCGGAGGATGGAAACGTGGCAGGAAACGCAGAAACATTGTTCAGCTCATCTCTTCGCACTGAAGAAGCCTGTCTGGACCACCCTGTCTAGGTGTCCTGTCTGGAGATCCCGGATAGTAGTGGGCTGGGTAGTCCAGCCAGGGCACCCAAACAGGATGATCCTAGTCCTGGTATATACATTCATTGATATACAGATATACATTCATTGAGGCTTCCCTCACTTGGATTTGCAGTCCAGGAACCGTGCAAATAAGACATATTCCTCAAAATCACCGAGAGCCTTCGTATGTAGGTCTTCTGAAACCACAAGTCCACAAGCAAGCCCACCCACTATAGTGACTGAAACTCAGTATACTTCCAAGTTGGGTCGTATTGGCTGACAAGAAATGCAACCGCATTCTATAAACGAACATTCAACTGCATCAAACGGCCTTGTCCACCTCAAGACTCATGGGCTAAACACATCAGACTACAAGTCGTCTAATTACAGCTCCTTGGGACTGGCTAAGGGGTATCTATGAGAAAAAACTACGGGGCTCGCCAACTACCTCCGTTCAGGTGCATGCGGTTTTGGCGAGTTGGAAGGCTTCAAAGTTGGATCCTACCTTCATGTCCGAAATCGGTCGACCGAACGTAGACCTGCAAAGTGTTCACAGTTCGAGCCTTCCAGCTACGAACGGAGCGACCGGACGCTACTATATAGTAGCTCCTGGCCTTACTACTAGCAACTAGTAACAAGAAGCTACTAGCAACAAAGGGCATCGCTACAAGTAACAACGAGTAACAAGGGCACTACTACTATAGTAGCAAGAAGCTCCTAGGTTATTCCCCCCAAAAAAGCTCCGCTCCTCAGTGGTCTTCTGCGTCACCGCCGCTGCACGGGCCTGGGGTGGGTGCCGTGAAACGCGACGTGCTTCGCTGGAGCGCTCGGGAGCGCCGAAGACCGCTTCGGTGGGGCTGAGGGCAGAGGGACTTCTGTGGAGTCCGTGGCCTCTCTGCCTGGCTGTGCCTCTTGTGGCTGAGGACGTCGGTAGAAGAGACATACTCAGCCTGCCACCGTGAGGTACGTGTGCATGTGTCATCCGGTGGGTGCTGTGGGGCTGCAGGGAGACGAGCGGTGACCCCATTCACTGGAGCAAAAACCATGAATTGGCATCGAGCTCTGTACCAGTGCAATGTACCAGTGGTGCAATGTACCAGTTCAATTGAGGTGCAATGTACCAGTGGTGGCCGGCAGCGGATTCATCCAAAACCAGGGGTCAAGCTTTATGTGGGAAAGGGTTGACAGTATTCATTTTGAACATGTCACTGCCACAGGTGCGCAGAAAATAGATTATAGATTTAAATAGTATAGAATTCTACGTCAATGATCTACAGTGATTTCAGAAGGTACTTAAAGCCCTAGGGTGTTGCATGAAGTACATCCGAATCACTGTATCAAGTGGATGAGGCCAGCTATCAAAAAGAGTGACAAGGCACGCTCGGTGCTTTGGACATCAAGACGCCGATGCTTGGACATACACATCTCAGGTAGTTGGAGAAAGAACACAGGCGATCCAGTTGCCATGTATAGCTGGTGACCAGTGGTTCCAAAGACTAAAGCCACAGACCTGAAAGCCCTGGTTCCTTACATCTAGTGCCTGAGATCCTCCGACGCCACAAACACCCTCCTCCACAGCTACATCGGATCCCCCGGCCTGGGCGTCTTCGACCGCTTTCTTGCCCTGTTCCTTCAGGGATGCGCCATCCGGAAGAGATGGGGAAGGGAGCCCGCCATGTGGTCTTCATCACTACTAAAGCTGGACCACTAAAGAACACCCTGCTCGAAAAAACCAAAGAAGAGAGACTGCCAAAGAAACTGAGAGCTGGCAATATTCTCAATGGCTCTTGAATGTGCAGAATGCACCATGTCTGCATCGCCAACATCCGCAGCAGTGGGATCTGGAGGAATGGATCCAATATGATCCAATCCATTCTCCAGCTCATGGCGGCGTGGCGGATTTCACCAGATTCACACAGGAAACAGAGAAGTCTGGCTGGACATTGAGGGAAACCAATGTTTAACCATACAAAAGACGGTCACCAGCAACCCCTGCGGTAGTGCTGCTGGGTTTCCTCCAGTTGCTTGGATCTTTTTGAAGACTGCGGAGTGTACATGGGACCGTATTCATGGGGAGAAGAATTCGGACCTAAGCCCTTTGCATCGGACCATGGCTGAGGCATTTTCTTGAAACGATCTTGAAGTCATTTGGACCAAGAAAAAAATGTGTGACCATCCCCATCCTTTTCATTTTGGTGCTCGGGCATCCAGTATTGCCCGGTAGACCAACGGACTTCCTCACTGTACAATCTTCATTAATCTTCATCTGGCAGGTCACTTTTGAACACCCTAGGGCTCCAAATACCCCCTGAGGAGGTGTTTGGGTGGGTTGAGAGGGTCCAAATACCTTCTCAGCAGGTGCAACTAGAGCCCTGGGGCACGGTTTCCCGCGGTTTCCCGCCATCGTTCTCGATCTGACTCCCAAGCCGTTTGGATCCCTGGCGCCCGGTGAACCCCGAACGTTCCACCTCCTAGTGACCTGACAGCTGCAGCCGTGGACTAGCTACCTCCTTTTGGTCCACCTCTTCTTAGTGAAGTAGGACCTCCAAAAGCGGCAGGTGATCGATCCATTTCCCTCGCTACCCGACATCATTGCGGATCCTCCGGGTCGCCCTTCCTCCGAAACACAGGGACGGGCCTTCCACTTGCTGCCCAGCTCCTGGGGCTTCTCGGGCTCCAGGGATTCGGAGCATCAGCTTGCGAGGGCTCCAAGAAGCCCAGCCCCGGGGAGGGGAGCTCGGGTGGAGGGTGCTTTCTGAGTTTAGGTGCAAGTCAGAAATGGTCTCTTAAATCCTAATTAATTATATATATATATAATGCGTCGGATGTTTCTTCGTCGATCTCGAAGCACCTCGAGATCGACGTGTCGTCGAAGGTCACGTGGACTCCTCGACGTCGGCGGTCTCCAAGGCTTGCAGGCCGCGCTGGAAGCCCAAGGGGTCCCCGACACCTTGGCGGCAAGGAGGGTGAATCGAAAACGCCACCAACGGACGTTCCATGACTTTCCAATGTGAATGAGGGAAGGAGTGCAAGTATGAGTGAGGGGACTTAACTGGGACACCCCAAGCAATCAAATAATCAAATGCTTGAGGTGTTAGGAGCACCCATCATAGCTCCAGATAGCACCCATCATCTTCACTGAAGGACCATTTTCCAGGCTTTTCACAGCCCGACTGAATCCGCACGGGCCCGATGAATGGCAGGGGGAGACCACAATAATAGGAGGGGCCAAACACCAAGAATTACATAATTCGATGCGATGTGCACGCCAAAGCGGATGAATGTAAGCACATGTCTTCTTGGATCTTGTGACAGGCTGAGTCATCTGTTAAATCACGTGCGGGGCCTCTTGGATTACAAGAAGCTGGCGGTAGAAGTTGCAAGCTCAGTTGGTTTGCCTGAGGACATGATTCCCCCCCACATGTCATATACATCCTGAAAACATGGAAGAGGAACCTCCCCTGTGGTTGTACAAGAGTTCATAGTAAGGCACATGGTGGCCACCAAACAATTCTCGGACGTTGGATAAAGGCTCCAACTCACAACTTGAGCCGCATTCCGTTTTGCCAAGGAAACTTGTCCTTGCACTTTGTAGAAGTCAAAAAGTGTGATCACACACACATATATATATATATACATATATATATCTGCGTGTGGCCCTCTTTTTCGACTGGCGCTAGCCTAGACAGTTGTCTGCGACCGCGAGAAAAAGTGGCAACTCAAACAAATCTTTTTCAACTCAGGGAAGGTCTGGTTCTGATTTCTTCGTCGTCGTGTCGGCCACTTGCCGCCGAAGTGCCACTAGCTTTGGCCTCATCTGCTTGAGCCTTGATCGCCTGCCGCAAGGGCAAATCGGTCAGGTCAGGTGGTCCACTGTGGTGGGAAAAAGCCAGTTCCAACTACAGTGGTTTCAGCGTAGATGGCACCAAACCTATTTGGATGGGGGTCCGTATAAACCGCCTTTTCAGCATCGTGCCATCTATTTACGAAAGGCACCCAAAAAGGTGAACAGGTCTTCACTGAGTGCCTACCTAGTGCTTCCCCTGTCAGGGTGTGGCTAGAGACCTAGGTCCTGTCCTAAGTAAGCTTTTCCAGCCTGACCTGGTGACCCATAAGCAGCTGGATAAGCAGCTGGAGGCCAATCCCCTTCCACCATCATTATACAGTACCATTTATATATTATATATAATATATATATATATATGACCAGCACCCGACTTCACAGGTGCTTCCTGGTGACAAGTCCGGTGCCCAGAAACCACTTGTTAGGGTCTCCAAACAGCTTGGCCAGGAGGGTCCTGGTAGTAGTAATGTGAAAGTAGAAAGATTACAAGCATCGACTCCCATGCGTGCCCGTGTGCTCTTCTTTCTTGGGGGCGCCTGCGACTAAAACTACCACATGCATCCGCATGCATCATCTGCGACCTCACTCCAATGAATTGCCCAGGACATGAAATGCCTGGTGTGGAATCGAAACTTGCTGCACTTCTTTACTAAAAACAGAAGCAATCCACAGTTCTTTCGACATTCTGAGGGGCTCTAAACTGGATTAATACAGCTATTATGGTTGATCTGGTCCAAAACCGGTGTTAAGCAGTGTCAAGCCATCGAAGTGGGCTCTGCACGCTGGCGCGCAAGCTCAACACTGAAGATTCTTCACGGGCTTTCGCATGTTTTCAGTGCTGGAAAGAAGCCCCACATTCCAGGAACCCGATCTCAGCAATTTTTGTTGTGAAACACGCTGGTCTGTTCTCAAAAGTGCATCGAGCTACCAAACAAGAAATTACAACTCTCATGCAACCATCTTCACTCAAAAAACCAATCAATGAAGCGCTAGCAGCCTGAAAATCGCTCATGATCCTTCCGGGTGGTGCACCTCCACTTCAGCAGTCCGTGCGGAAATCTGCACTTGAAGCTGTTCCAGCTGCGCTTCCAACACGCTCTTCTCCTGGCGCATGGTGGCCGCATGCAACACCTGCGGTGTTCTACACCGCGGGCTTTTCCTGGAAAGAACTCTCGGGGAGGTGCTTTGAACTCTCTCGAGGTGTTGGGTAATGTAGGCTCTTGAGTCTGTTGAGTAACACCCCCATGTGGATGGTCAAACCTCTCCGTATGCGGAATTGTCTGAATCCACCGTCCACGTTCTCGTGACCTTCCAGCGCCTCCAACTTAGCCCCTTGGCCCCCGTTCTCAAGGAAGAAGGGGATTCACTCACTTCGGGAGAAAACAATTCACAAACATTCACCCTGAAATCCAGGTGCATCTAATGTTGACTTCCTAATTACAAATGCACCGTGAATAATGCTAAACTTTTTCTGGACCCGCCCTGATTTCAGCTGCTTCCAAACCTTAATTATATCATCCAAGTTGATTCTGAGCTTTCAGCTGGTTCCAATACCTTGTTGTTTACTGTCAACCTGTGTGTCCAATTTGGCTGCTGCATGTTCCTTTTAAAACTGCCAATTTGGGCATTGCCATTTGCAACCTGAAATCAACCCACAAAGACTAACCCTTCAATTACTCCAGACCTCAAATAATACTAAACAAACCCTGGCTGGTTATGTTTTTCTTTCCGTTCATTTCCCTTTTGTTTACTTTCATGTCCTGTCATTTTCATGTTCTTTCCTTTCATTGTCCTTTCATGTCCTTGTCTGTCCTTTCACGCTCCTTTTATTTCAAATTCAAACCAAGACTTTTCTCGGATTTTTCTGGATTTAGCTTTATTCATGATCAGAACTTGATCAAGGGGGAGGGGAGAAGTTTGTAATTAGAAGGTGGACATGACCTGGCTGGCCATGTCCACCCCTATGATGCGACGAACGAACGGACCTTCGCGGCGGTCCTGCTCCAATTCGGACTTTTCCGCCTCAGCGATGGAGAGCTTCGCACCCAAGGTCTCACTACCTGAGGAGATGTCCGGCGATGTGAGGAAGTCGGCGTGGTGATGTGGTGGAATGAATTTTCAGGTCGTCTGGCTCCAAGTACAGTAGCTCCGTTTCGAACATGGCTGGAATGGGTGCCGGGGGGGTTCTAAACAGCTTCTGAGGAACTGGTTGGAGCCCTAGGGAAGGTGTCTGGTTCTGGAATGTGGCTGGGATAAGGAAGGGCGGCATGTGTCTTTTGAGTTTTGCATGGTTTTGCCATGTGTTGGCCCAAACTTAGGGAAGGTGCATGTCACACTATAAGACTTTCCCTTCAGCTCGTCACAATCTGAGTGGAGTCGCGATTGGCATGGGGAGGGAAGGATGGCAAAGACAGAAAAAGATTAGGCCTGCCTGGAGGCTTCTTTGATGCTTAAAGGATCGCGTGGGTAATCATGGCCCCGTCGACAGCCGTTCCACTTCCATGCTACTTCGACATGGTCACAGCTGTGGCCACCCTGCTGAGACCCCTCAGCTGCGAGTCCATCCCCTTCCGAACTTTTTCTGTGAGACCTCGCTCGCACGTTTCACTTGAGGTCAAAACTTTCCGCTCTTTTGTGGAATCATAGCTGGACGAATTGGCAGCTCAGCAGAACATTGGCGCCCCTTAGTGCTCATGAGAACGGCAGAAGCTTTCTCGAAAATTCAGGTCAGTTCCCAAGTTACGAAGACCTCTTCGAACACCAAAAAACCACACACTTAGCTAACTTGCCCTCATCCTGGTGGTTGTTTTGGGACTTCCTCAGACCCGTCTGCCCCGAGAAAAAAAACAGCTTCGTCGAATGGGGCGCATCTCCTCGCCTCGCTTCGTCGAATGGGACGTCCTTTTGATCCCCAAAACCATCTATGGAACTGGCATATTTGACCGATGACGGGCCCCACTGGACGCACTCAAGAAAGGGCGGCATCTCTGGCTCTTCACCCCAAGAAAACGACCCCAACATCCACTCGGGGAAGCTTTCAGTCTGCATGGAATGTCTGGAAGGTCTGATTTTCAGATGTTGGAGGTGGGGCTACTCCTACATCTTCACCAGCCTCCTTTGTATTTGCGCCCCGAGACTCAGCGGAAAGCTGCCCCCAGCTCACTCCAACCATCGTGGAAAGGCATACCGGTCACGCGACGAGGCCCCTTCCTCTACATAAGCAGAAAACGAAGGCTCCATGCATATATTGACGCCTGAAGCCACCCCAAGGTAGGTAAACATCCCGTACATGGAGGGTCTGGGGATTGTTCTCTTCCCAATCAGACCGGTTTTTTGTCACTTTCATCCATCTACCTCCATGACAAAGAATTCATGAAAATCCGTTTCTCAGACTCAGACTTGTAGAAAGAAACATCGTCGGATCTCCAAACAAATTGAAAGAAAGGACTGGATGGGTGAAAAGAGGAACTTGGAAATTCCTAGCGTCCTAGCTGTCCAAATCGTCAGGCAAACAACTCCCTGTCCAGCACACTGCATGCAACCGGAATGAACACGATTCTTCATAATTCTTTATGTACTGTAACCTGAAGTAGTGTGGTCCAATTGCAGCTCTGTGTGACAATCTTCCTGTTGCTTCTTCTTCTTCCCAATTGCTATATCCCACTTGATCCACTCCAAGCTCTCAAAGAGTTCTTGAATCAACACAGCGCCCAGGCGAGCGGACGCCAAGCCACGCGTCCCTGGTCACTGGCGCGCGATTTGAGCCTCTCCTGACAGGCTGAGAAGCCGAATCAAGCGCTGAGTTTGGGGTTGACCTATGAGCTCAAAATGAACCAGAAAACCCTCCGGCAGGTCATCAATTCAGACCTCTGGTTTCAACAACCTTCCGAAGCAATTCTTCTCGGTGGTGAGAGTCATCTTCTCGGTTTTCCCTTGTCGGCGCCATGTCGCCCAATCCCCAAACCCATCTCACATGGATGACATCTCTGGGGGTGAAAGCGCTAAAGGCACCCGTTAACTACAATGCCCAAACACTCCATGGGACTGCCATTTATGCCGATCAGGCCAGGGGTGGTGCCAGGGGGGTCAATGGGGCGGTCTGATGCGGTATGTATGGCACACATGGAGTGTCTGGGATGGTTTTAAGACGCAACTTGGCATGAAAATTGGTCCTTGCACTAGCTCGAGACCAACCCACGACTGATGCCGTTCGATGGGGTGTTCCTCAACCCAACCCGACTCCTTAGTGCGGGTTGGGCGCCACAGGGAGCATTTCACTAGGGTTCTTGAATTCCTTTGATGTTGAAAACGAGCCATGTCTTGGACTATATCTCCACCAGGTCGGCTGCCGACCATGCCATGTCCATCAGTGTCCATCCGCCCCTCAGTCTCACCATTCGCTATGGTAGGTTGGAGGTGCAAAACATCTCAAGAGCTGGACGGCGTTTGCTGGAAGCCCAGTCAACCAAAGCACAAAATGATCCAACTCCCAATCCAAATAAATCCCCCCACCGGAGCTCCGAGCTCAGCTCCAAGCACCTAGCTCGTCCTGGGCGGCCTTAGGCAGGTCTTGATGGGTCAAAGAAATAACCAAATCACCGACTAAACCGTGACTCCGTAAGGGTGGACTTTTCATAGAAAGTTCTTGCAAAGAACGGCCACTGGCAGCTTAAGACTGTTGAATCCTCTCATCATGGGAGAACCTTCCAACGCCATCTCTAGCTACAAGCTTCTCAGCTCCACTGGGCCTGGAACCAGCAAGTTGCTTGATTCAATATGATTCACTCACTTTCGGCCAGGCATCTTGATTCCCCACATCTCCACCTGTAGCGTGTATCCCTCAAAGCTGGATCCGTTCAGCGCCGCTGCCACCGTCTGCGCCTGTGTCCAGTCCGCAGACCCCATCAGGTCGGTGTTTCACGCCGTCCGTCACCGAGTCAGCCGACCGGTTTTGGGAAAACGACGGCGGTGTCCACGGTGTCCAACGCACCGCTCCCCGCCTCAGAGTTGCTCTTGAAGGCTGCGCCGCCAGTGCCGCTCCGGCCGATCTCTGCATAGAGGCAGGTGACCCCGGTCTTAGGCGTAGCCAGCAATTCCAAGTACACAAGCGCAACTTACCCACATTGAGACTGAGATGGCTTCAGGGGTCAGTGTAAATATATATGTAAATATTCCGTTGGGACATCAAGCCTTGAGGACGGGGCATGAAACGTGGGCCCGGGCACAAACATACAAACCTGCCGAAACGACCTCCTACACCCTACCCTTCCGTTCGGGCACTTGAGAACAACTGTAACGGGTTCTGTAGTCTAAAACCCTTTGTAAATTGGTTGGTTGTTCGGGATTCCAACATTTTCATCATTTCATCAATGGTGGTTAGTGTTAGAAACCTACTAGGGTACAGTTCAAATTTAGGTGCAGCCCAGTCGCGCTTGACATGTGATCCTTTAATTTCATGTTGATGTCTTTGCTGACGTTGTTCTCGGGCATTCCGCCGATAAATACTTTCTTCTCATTGGCAAAGTTTCGAAGGCCTGTGTTCACCTTGCCCATGCCCTTCATCATCATGGCGAGCATCGGGTTGAACATGGGCTGCCAAACGCCAGCACCACCCCAACTGCTGCCAGGTCCGGCGCCCTTTCCACCACCAGCTCCGTAACCCTTGCCACCCTTGCATCCTCCACCAAAGCCCTTGCCACCGTCACCTCCCCAGCCTCCACCCTTGCCGCATCCGCCTCCGCAACCCTTGCCTCCTCCCCAGCCACCATCGCTTCCACCCCAAGCGCCTCCACCGGCAGCGGCACCCCAGCCCCCATCGCTGGAGCCCCAATCTTTTCCACAGCCGCCCCAGCCCATGGTTCGAAACTCACGAGTTGGCTGATTCTACTGGGGGCCTTTTGCTTGGTTCTGCAGTCGCATGCAAAGAACTTGAGCTTTCCAATTAGAAATTAGAATCACTTCTGGCCATCCTCAAGTCAATATGGAACAGTTCCTTGCGCAACCTAATGCAAGCTAAACTATACGGAATAATAGCAACAAGATTAGATCATGCCGAATCATGCTCCAAATCCGAGTTCCACAGGATGGCTCCTTTTTTCCTGTGCCTCATACGTGTAAATGTGCTGGATTAATCTCCGGCTCAGCACACCTATTCGTTTCACAGGGGCACGGTGACACGAGCTTAAATATCACAAGAGGGCGTTCAGGGACGCCTCCGGTTCTTCGTCCTCTCAAGGTGGTGGTTTTTTGCCCCACATATCTATGGAGAGAGTGTGGCCCTCAAAGACAGAGCCATTCAGCGCAGCGCAAGCACTCTGAGCCTCTGAAGCGCTTTTGAATGCAGCACCTCCACTGCCACTCTTGCCGATCTCTGCATACAAGCAAGGAAAGCCAGCCTAGGGTTCTTTGCCGAAATGCCGTCAAAATAGCCATCGCACCATTTGTCTCATCATGCGCTGCTAATAAAAAGCTTTACATAATATATATATATATATATGCATAAAGTAAAGTAATATAATTCATTGCCGTTTCAATTCCAAGGAGCTGTGGACATGTGATCTTTCATCTTCATGTTGACCTCCTTGCTGACTTGGTTGGCTGGCAGCCCTCCTATCCAAACCTTCTTTTCGTTGGAGAAGTTTCGAAGGCCAGTGGTCTGCTTGCCCATGCCCTTCATCATCATCGCGAGCATCGGGTTGAACATGGGCTGCCAAACACCAGCACCACCCCAATTGCTGCCGGGTCCAGCGCCCTTTCCACCACCAGCTCCGTAGCCCTTGCCACCCTTGCATCCTCCACCAAAGCCTTTGCCGCTGTCACCCCCCCAGCTTCCACCACCACAGCCCTTGCTGCTCTCACCACCCCATCCTCCACCACCACCTTTGCTGCACCCCCCTCCTCCCCAACCGCCGTCACCTCCCCAGCCAGCGTCGCCGCCGCCCCAACCACCAGCAGCAGCTCCCCAATCCTTTCCACAGCCGCCCCAGCCCATTGCGAACAAATGTCAAGGTCTTTTTCTAAACCTGGGGCAGTTTCTGCCTCTCTTGAGCCCGGTCAAAAGAATGCGAAAATCGAACCATGATTATCTGGCAATGACAAGTCTCCACAACCATGTTGCAACCTACCAAGGACATGCTTCATGCATCCGAGACACCAAACATCCTCCCCAAGGAGGTCGGGACATTCAAGAAACGAGTTCAGCTTTACAAATCTTAAAACAGAGTCAACAGGATCAAATCTGACACAGTTACACAGTAGCTCAACAGTTCTGGCCAGCTTTGCCGCTACTGAATCTCAACTTTTTTGGCTGCCCTTCATACTTCGAAGGCGTGCTCGTGTGTCTGATCAGCACACCTAGCAGTGCTGGCCTTTTTTTCGGCGAGCTACGCACATCGACGACCACCATGCAGTGCTTTGCGCAACGCACCTGTCGGTGATACAAGATTGCATGAAGGTCACTTGGTCGCCATCAGGGATTGGATGAGGAAGCCCTCTCAAGGTGGTGGTTTTTTGCCCCACATATCTATGGAGAGAGTGTGGCCCTCAAAGACAGAGCCATTCAGCGCAGCGCAAGCACTCTGAGCCTCTGAAGCGCTTTTGAATGCAGCACCTCCACTGCCACTCTTGCCGATCTCTGCATACAAGCAAGGAAAGCCAGCCTAGGGTTCTTTGCCGAAATGCCATCAAAATAGCCATCGCGTGGACCATTTGTCTCATCATGCGCTGCTAACTGCGCTGCTACAAAAAAGACCTTTACATGTATATAGTAACAAAAACATAGCCGTTCCAATTCCAAGGAGCTGTGGACATGTGATCTTTCATCTTCATGTTGACCTCCTTGCTGACTTGGTTGGCTGGCAGCCCTCCTATCCAAACCTTCTTTTCGTTGGAGAAATTTCGAAGGCCAGTGGTCTGCTTGCCCATGCCCTTCATCATCATCGCGAGCATCGGGTTGAACATGGGCTGCCAAACACCAGCACCACCCCAATTGCTGCCGGGTCCAGCGCCCTTTCCACCACCAGCTCCGTAGCCCTTGCCACCCTTGCATCCTCCACCAAAGCCTTTGCCGCTGTCACCCCCCCAGCTTCCACCACCACAGCCCTTGCTGCTCTCACCACCCCATCCTCCACCACCTCCTTTGCTGCACCCCCCTCCTCCCCAACCGCCGTCACCTCCCCAGCCAGCGTCGCCGCCGCCCCAGCCACCAGCAGCAGCGCCCCAATCCTTTCCACAGCCGCCCCAGCCCATCTTCTGCGTTAGATGAAGTAGGAACAAACGTGAACCTCTTGGTTCTCCCTTTTCAGTGGGCAAAGGAACAGCCTTGGGCCCATAGCAGCTAGCAAAAAGTTCTAGCAAGTCAAACCACGCCTGAGTGAGACGTGAAGAGAATCACGTAGTGATCAGGACTCAACATCGATCAACTGATGGTCAAAGCAGACTTGCTAAGTCCTCTGACTTCTACTCTTCAGCTCCCTGAGTCTTCAATCTATATTCCAATGGGGGGCTCTCACTTGCTACAGTATCAATCTCACTTAGCCCGAAGATCGGGAGCGGTGCATTCTTTTGCCACGGGCTGGGCACCATGGAGTATTTGGTGGACAGGGATCTCCTTTCTCGGCGGCACGCGGACAAAACTCAAAGCTCCACCTTTTCTTTCAGGAGTCCTCGGTCAGCGCGTCGTGGCCAAAGGAATGTAACTGGTCGATGAATGCTTCCCAAAGCATCCGAAGAACACCCGAAAAGTAAGGCCACCAAAAAGCACCCAACACCTTCCAGCACTGTAGCTTGCTCCGCAGGGTCACCATTGTGGCAACAGCAGGGGCAAAATCCATCCATTATCAAAAGTAGGAGGCAACCTGGAAAGTCTTCGGGTGTACTATCCCAGACCATCCATGTATGGAACAGTTACCTACATTAGGGCCAAATGTATGTAACTATTTCATGCATGGATGGTCTGGGTATGTCGCCTCTTTCCCACAAAGCGAGGCCCGCGAAGACTGCGACGAAAGCGGTCTGGCTGCGTCTCCGAGGCTCCTTTTGCCCTGGGGCCGGTCGGAAAAAAGGACTTCAAAAGCACCCCGAGAGGGAAGGACAGAAATATCCCGGAGCAAATGACCAAACCTGGACCCTCAACATCCCTCAACCAACAAGAAATGTATTCACTATATATTGGGATCTCTTTTCTATTGGCTTCCACCCAAAAGTGAACGGTTTCAACCAACATTGAATGCTAGCGCTGCTCCTGTTCCTTTCTTGATGCGCACACAAGTGGAAAATCTGCAAGCCAAGTGTGCCATCAATGACTCAATGACAGGACTGAGTGGTTCAACAAATGCAGAAATTGCGTGAAAGGCTGACATGCAGTTTGTACACAAGGCGATTCTTGTTGGATAGCAAGTCCCCTTTTCCACCCATCATACCAAGGGAAACCCCTCTGAAGCTCTAGTCGTGTGATGGAGACTCGGTGAAATGTTGAGAACCAAAAAGTACAGAAATCCCGAGTATTGTGCGTACCTGTTTATAAATGTTTATGTGCATGAAAAAGCAGCTTTGCAAATGACATCGCATTACATATTGCATACCAAGAGAAAACGACTAGCAGCATTAGTGTCATTAGTTGAGGGATGCTTCCATCTGATGTAGTGGGGTGGGGCAAACCTTCTCTAACTCAGCATACAGCTCTTCAAAGCCTGAATGCTAGGAATGAGATACTTTTGTGTTTGACCCTGTCAAAGTGCCTTCACATTGCTGTTGGTTACAGTTAATTTGCAAACATCCAAGTCAAACTTTCTATATACACAGTCTAATCAGGTTTAGATCTGCATGAACTGAACGATTCTCCTTGCTCAACTCCAATTATTGAGATATTTTACCAGAATGTCAAATTTGAACGGCTTGAAGGGTTTGCAGCCTTTTGCGCGCAAAAGTGTTGAAACCATCAATCTATAGTGAAGAACAGTCTTCAGGCTTGAAGCCAGGCAAGGGCGGACATGTTCCATCACCCGAGTGACCTCGGGATATTTCCAACACATGCGGCAGGCAGCACCTGGGGAGGACTCCCTCCTGCCACTGCGCCGAGGCTCTCCAAGAGTCGTTTCGTGGCCACCAACGCGTTGCTGCCAATCTGTGTCATGGACGGCTCCTGTGGCCAACACATCGGGAGGGGCCTAAGATCTCGCAGCCCTGGGCATCTCACCCAGCCTAAGGGGCGATCAGGGCCTAAGCAAGTGAGGGAGTTTCTCATCTCCGCCATCTCCCATGAGTTGAGGTCTCTCTCTCTCTCTCTCGTCTCTGTGCAGCACCGACAGTTGAGCTGTCCGCTGTCCATGCGCGCCAGGGACCATGGCCCATGGCGCGAAACGGTCCAGGTCGAGGTCCCCCGGATCAGCCCGAGCGCCTTGTGGCCCGCTTCGATGAAGAACAGCGTGGGAAAGCCCTTGCCGACGTGGCAAGGTCCGACCGAAAAAGAGATGATCAAAGGACTGACAGAAGTAAGTATATGGGGTTGATTCATATTTCACACATCTTCACACATCTTCACTTAAGGCTCATTGTCACAACGTTTTGGACTTCACATGTGCCAGTTTGAGGGTCCAGGAGACTCTGGTAACCCTTCATCGACGCAAATAACCGCAACTTGACCACGAAGCACATTTCAATTACACACACAGTATTTCTGGCGACTCCTTCCGTGAGCAGGCAGTGCCTTGACTTCGAAGCCGGTCATGGGCAAATCATTCCTGGGTGTTGGAAGCGATTCGCTCTGAAACAGCCCCCGGAGCGGCCTAGAGCCACCGCTGTGTATTTTCACCCTGGTTCTTCAGAACCCAAGACCATCGCCAGACCATCACCTCGGGTGATTTCAACCACGGGATGATGGAGGATATGGCGGCGGCGGATCGAGGTTGGATGGTGTCGAGACAAACCACCCGAAAAAGGAAGGCGTTCGTTCGAACCGCGGTTTTTTTGGCTTCAGCGGCCGACATCGGCGATCACAGGGCGACCGTGGTGTTCAAATCACTTGACCGCGCCAGCGGTTCTATGAAGATGGGTGCCGAACTGGAGGATAGGGGTGCCCATGATGCCCCTTCCTTTGGAGTTGAGTCAGGGGGTGAACAATTACAGTATCCCAAGGTTGAACATCGAAATCCCCGATAAGTCACTGGGAGAAAAATCACACCTCTGACCCGCTGGAAATGGACAATTGGTGCCGGGAAGGCCGCTCGTGAGTGGGAGAGTAAACAAGCTACCAAGCAACCACCCTACCTACCCTCCTGGTCTAGGACCTCTGGGTAGCTAGGCTGGTAGCTAGGAGGGAGTAACGGTTGAACATCCAAATGTTCAAAACACCCACCCAAACTCTCTGCCCTGGCTGAGAGTCTTGGTGCCGTCCATCTTTGCCACGACGACGATTCTCTTTAGCTCCTGCGCGAAGGCCTCGAGCCTGGCCCGCAGGGAGGTCCAAGAGCAGAGGTCGCCAGGAGGGGTTGCTGTAAAAATAACGGGATCGCATGGTGGAGTGAGGTGAACAATGGTAGGAAGGTGGTTAGCATAGGAACTCGCCTATGTAGTTCTTGCGGTCCCAAGTCATATAGTTACTGCATGTTACTGCAGGATCTTCCTGGGTCGCATTCAAAACAGCCGCAAGATGCTGCCAATCCTGATGCCAAACCTTTCCTTTGGTTGCGTGCTTCGAGAAATCCCACGGACCAAACAAACAGTTTAAAACGCCCCTTGGCACATTCACAGAGCTTACTACATCGCCACAAGCAGTGGTATGCCACCTGGTATGCCATGCTTTATGATTTTCATGCATCCTGCTACCTATGGGAGTTCCTCGCCAGGTTAATCCAGTTGCCAAATCGTAAGTCCAACGTCCACTGTGATGACGTTGGGAAGGCTTTGGCGTGCAGCGCATGATCCGAGAGAATGGTGACTGGGCGTACGATGGGTTCAAAGGTTTGGCATGGTTATGTTCCAAACCTCCTAAAATCATACATGGGAAATAGGGAAATTACTAAATTATACAAGTGGCTTCCAGCACGTTGCAACATGTTGCAACTAAATGGATTCCTATCTTGCACATCTGCGATCTGTGGCTTCGCCCATGCGTCAAGGCGGTCAAGGTCTGAGGTCCCCGGCTCAGGCATCATCCGCATGCAGTGGGGGCACTTTTGGTCCTCAGCAGTCACAGTACAAAAGAACCAAAAAAGGAATACACCCGTTCTGCTGCATGTCTGTTCAGCACCGCCCAGGCCGCTGAAAGGGCGGGACAAGACTCACCGCGGAGCCTCCATCGGATGGCCCTTCATCCACCGGAGCACCAGGGCACGGTTCTCCGGCAGCGGTAGACGATACATTAACTAATAACATCACATAGTGCAACATTACATTACCATAGATGCGTACATACAGAATACATATTTTACATTAGATTGCCATACATTACATTATAGGAATAAATATGCTGGATACATATTTATCATATTGATGATCATTGGGGTGGTTTCTGTATGTTTTTGTTTCAAGGGCCCAAGTATAGGCATACATCATATATGCCATACATGTGGAGTGTCCATCATTCTGTTGGTTCAGATGGTGGGCAAAGGCATAGGTGGGCTAGCCATTTGAAGTGCTGAGGCTAAGGTAGCCTTAGCCGCCTTAGCCCGTTAACAGCCAAAAGGTCCGGGACGAAAAGACCGCCCAAAACCTGAGCTGAGACAGCTGAGATGCATAAAGCATTAAAAGGCAATGCTTCTGCTCATGGAAGACCACATCAACGAAGTTGCTGAGTACCACCGTCCTGAGGGAAAGTGGGACAAAGCACACCATTTCCGGAATTCAAACACCTGGGGTTTCCCAACAACCAGCAACCAACACCTGGGATGTTCTTTTTGTTTCCCCAGTCCCCGCCATTTCCTATGTAAAGGATTTCCAGCTGGTGCCATCGTGGGTTCCAACCAGAACGGTTGCTGGTTGCGACTGGGTGAGGCCAGGAGACCCTCTGGTCCCTGCCACTGAGATCCAGGGAAGAAACGCTTGCGCCACCCCCACCCCTACCAATCCCACATGCCTTGGCCCAGAAACCTGGACTCCCAACCACTCCCCCAGCGACCGTGAGACCCACACCCCTAACCCCCTGCGACCCGTGCCTTACAGGACTGGTCTGCTTGGCTGGCGGCTCCTCCGAGCGGAACTGGCTCAGCAGCTGCGAGAGGCTCGGCTTCGACGCCTGGAGAGCCGCCCGGAGGGCACCGGGAGGCTGAGTACGAAGGAACCGGAGCCGCACGGAACATGGCTGCGCCGAGGTCGGAACAGTTCAGAACTGGAACTAGATCCCCAAATCGCACAGGGCATCCCGATTCAATCAAGAGAAGTGTGAAAAAACATGTTCGGGCTCAGCACTCAACACGAGAGTTGTGCTTCACTTTGGCCATGCTGCGTCCTTCTATGCTTTTCTATCGGTCCAGGGCCTCACCGGGTTTCGACACACCCATCTTGGTCACAAAGGAGACCAGGCCCTCCAAGGTTCGCTCCTGAGCGGAACCAAGTCGATCGGTTTGGGTTCCAAATCGATCCATCTGGGGCATGTCACGCCGTTTTTGGGTGCAAACATGACGCACAAGAAAACTGGCTAGCCAAAAAAAACATGAAATGCTATACGAATCTCAAGGCGAACGTCATGTTGATTGTTCATGAATCACATGTTCCAGGCCTGGAGGTGTCCATGGTGAACCAGCTCGGGGGATGTAGGGGTGGGAGCATTCATCAACAGTGAACAACACGTGTCACCTAAACCGCTCCACCTGGGCCAAGGCTCAGAAACCTTCGTAATCTGCTCGCTGCTGGGCGAGAGGTAGAAAAGCGTGGGGAAACCGGTGTAGTCGAAGCCAGCGAACCTCGCTAGCCGGGCGAGCCGGGCGCAGCTCGTGAGCTGAGAAGCACATGGGTTGCGCCAGCCAGCCTTGGAAGATGTTAAATAACCATTTGATGTTACAGTTCATCACTGTAACCATGTTACATCATGTTACTACAAATTTGTTCTTACATCATTCGCTCCGGAAACACCACTTGTCCATCAATGGAAACCTTGTCGAAAACATGCTGCTTCTGCACTTTCCTGAAGCACTTCCAGGCTTCCGGGTCATGTGTTTGGAAGGTGCTCAACCCTACATCGATCATCGATCAACCTCAGTTTTCTGTATGCAATCTTCCAATCAACATCGTTCCGTGTTAATTACTGTCAACATTATGTTGATTTTGAGATGATGATCTTGACACTCATGAGGTTGGGTCCTTCTCAGCCGCGGCAGGTCCTCTACTAAAATTCAAGGGTGGGTCTGAAGGCTAAGTCGGCTAAGTCCAAGATTGATATCGCAAGTCAGTCTGAGGAAGCAGAAAGGGGAGGTGCCTCATATTTGCACACATCTCTACTATCTTGGACTATCAGTTTCTAATATGGTTCGAACATTTGGATGCACTTAGAATATATGGTCATTAAATAGAGTTAGAATATATGGCCCATGCACTTAGAATATATATATATATATATCAAGAACTTCTAATTGTTCCACCAATGCACTTAGAATATACAGTTTAAGACTATGCAGCGGTCAAATTAACGGGCTATGGGCTATGGGTCAAAACATCAGTGCCAGTCCTTTTTTCCCTGCGGAGGCGGCCACAAGATCTGTACTGTAGCCGTTTGTAGCTACCACATGTCTGGATGAAGCACAAGAAATTGACACGTCTCTTTGAATCAAGCAAAACTTTGTGGTGGTCTACGAGGACAAATTCTAACTGCACATGAACACACAGCCCAGTGCTCTATCCACCACCATTTGGTTCCAAAAGTTTAGTTCTAGTAAGCTGCGAAGGAAAGCGGGCAAAAACCTTTTTGACTGCACAGTGTGTGTTTAAATCTTGTTAGTGATAAATGATAAATGCATTTTTTGTGTTTGCTTGAGATGTTTGTTCTTGGTGTTGCCAACGATGCATTGCATTCCATATTCTAACTGTGGCATATTCTAACTGCAGTGCCTCCACCAGGCTTCTCTATGTTGGGATGTCATTAAAAGCTAAATTCATTGATTCGATATTCTAACTGCCAGTCTTCTACTGTAGCTAAAATTTGCACACGCGCCCTTCAATTGCCTTGCCAATCACACTTCCATCATCAAAACTCACTTTCGCATATGCTCCCACACTTTTATCATACAGTACGTGTTCTAACAAAATTAGATGTGAGACTTGTCTTTGGATGACAGGTCTGATAAGTTGCGAGTTGTTTTTGAAGATGTTTGAAGGGTGAGCGGGGGTGCCGCCGGCAGCATGATCGGTCAAAGCACCAATGAAACCCAAACGCTCCATGGGACTGGCATATTTGCCGATCAGGCCAGGGGTGGTTTGGGGGTCAATGGGGCGGCATATATATGGCATACATGGTCGGAAAAGCACAAATGAAAGGTGCAAGCATACCAAAACTGCAAGTGTTCCCAGATCATCCGCCTGGTTGCTCAGGGGCAGGTCGTTTGTTCCAGATCCCGGATCAAGTGCCGAGGCGCGGAATACCATTGGCATCTCCATCCAACTTGGCAACCACCAGCGGCCGGCCCTCATCCTGCATCTTCTGTGCAAACTGCTCATAGATGGGCGCAAGCTTCTTGCAATGGCCACACCAAGGTGCATAGACCTGTGGGCATGTGATGGTTTTGTTTGAAAGCGTGGAAGATTCTTTTTTGGCAGGTCTGAGCAAAGCAGTCTGATTCCTAGCCAAGTCTGGGCAGTCTGGGGCCAATTACTCAGTCTGAGCACTTCTGCATCTGGGATGCCACCATCGAGTTTCACCAGTTAAATATGACCCCAAGATACCCCAAGCCTTCTCCGCACCCCAATCCTGGAGCTGCAAGAACTTCCAGCAAGTTCAAGAACGTGCAATCCCTGAAATCATCATGGAAGTGGATGGCATGGCCCCTTGGATGACACTTTCCTTCTACAAACAGGTGGTGAACTCCACTCCACTGTCGCGAGTATTTCAAGAAAGTCCTTCTTATAGAAAGTGTAAGCAGTCACCAACTACAGGGACCACCTGCGAACAGTTCGTCTCCACTTCCGACCTCTACAAATCCTCCATGAAAATGCCGAGGCATGGGCAGCATTCGAATTTCGTCATCCAAGTCACTTCCAACAGAACATGTTTCCCTTCCTCCAGCGGCTTGAACACCTCCGGCTGATGGCAGGTGACCCTGCGATGAGACCATGATGAGGGTGGAGGAGTGAACTCCTGTCTCCCCATTTTGGAATTTTTGGATCCAGCACATCGTTTGGTCTTGAGCGAAGCTGGACATAGCTGGACTATATCTGAGCTTCCCGGCATCCTTCTTGGAAAAAACACATCCCAAGCGCATGGGTGACTTGCCAAGTTGGGGTAACAAGCGCCGCGAGGCTGTAAAAGGGTCAGTGCAAGTGAGCTACGGCCAGTTCATCTGGTAAAAAATCCTCTTTCAGAAACATCAGCCATTTCTATAGTTCTGCACTCTGGATAGCCTATATATCCAGCGTGGCTTTTACATCAGCAAGGGGTCGCCCTGGGCCGCTTAGGCTTGGGGCACCTACGTTTGGGCTTGGTGAATGCGGCAGTGCAGGCACGCAACGAGCCGAAGGTGTGGCAAGCCTTGTTTGATGTGCACGTCTTGAGCTGGTTCAGTATGCATAGCTGAGGTACTTGCTAGTTTTAGGAGGTGGAGGCCAAAAGCATCGAGCTCCGACAAGTTTAAAAAGATCAAACCTTCATTTAAAATTACAAGCTCAGGCTAGGTGCAGAATCCCCGGAATCAACGGAGCACTGGCCAGTTCAAGAGTGGTAAACCTAGACCAATTGAGGACCCAAATGGCATCCTTGAACACTCATGATGACTCCCCCATAAGTTCCCTCGCCGAAGGCCCATCTTGAACTCCCTGATGTCCGACAACAACCATCTCAACACTCTCTAGTCTTTCACCCCACTCCCCAGCCCCCCAGCACCACTCAGTCCGCTGCGGTCACCACCGGCACCACTCCCCAAGAACCACACGGGCGCACCTTCTGTCGGAAGTTCGCTCCCACCACGGTGCGCACGGGCGAGGACGAGGCTTGCGTCTCGGTCTCGGGTGGAATGGGTGCGCTACGAACCAGCTGCTCGGCGAGCCAGAGCTGCAAGTCCTAGCAGATCGGGTGAGGTTTCGCATGACTCACATGACATGCACGTTTTTTTTTTCTATTCCTTGGCCTGTTAGGACCCAGAAAGTTGCGCAGAGTTGCAATCAAAACACTATTCGCAAAAGGGAAAACAACATAAAACAACACATTTATTTGAGGCATCGGCCTCAACTGGCGACGACTGTTTCATGGACCATCAAACCCGAAGATCAAACAGGTGGTGGGTTTTCCACTTCGATGACTCTTTCAGTGAGTGTAGCTGCTCGAATTGCCCAACAATATTCATGGGACCGGAACATTTATATACCTACATTGACCCGACCTCAGCGCTGAAAGCATCTCAACAACATAGGCAAATCTTTCAGGCCCTTGGATTGGCTGCACTCTGGTAGGCAAAGGTGAACATGTTCCAAGCTCCACCATTCGGCTGATGTTCAGGGGAACAGGAACCACCTCAAAAAGACTCAAAAAACGGACTCGCAATGAGGATTTTTAGGGAAATGCAGGAGAACTGAGCTTTCCACCTGGTGGATTTGAGTGGGGTGCCCCATGGTGTCCCCAATCCAATGGGGGTGCCCTGCAGATGATCCACTTGTCCTGATTAGGAGCAGCAATCATGAAGGTGCAAACTGCAAACATGTGCAAATAGACCCGCTGCGGGGACCAAGGGTCCGCCCTGGTGATGCAATTAGCATGCAGCAAAGACAAACACTCCGATGAATATGGTTTTCGGAAGGACATCTGATCCGTTAAAAGAAATGGCCTTCCAGTTGGTGGGTTCAACTCACTTGTAAATAACACGATTCAGTTAAGCGTTAAGGTGAACAATCATCCCAAGTTGAAGGTGGAACATCAACATCTCTGAAACCATCACCTCACCTTGGCGGCCACAACGTGCCACAAGGCCTCCTCCAGACCTCCCAGACCCAGATCAGTAAACACCGCGTCATTCTGCAGCACGAGTTAGTAACTCGATATCCCATGGTTGAAGACCACCCCAGTGTCCGAGCCTTCCGTTGGGCAAACCTCCTTTTCGCACCCCCAAAGGAGTGTCAAACATCCTTCCCTGATTGAGTAAAGCTGGAAAAACATCAACAACATTGCCCCAAGGTTTGGATGAAATCGTGCCCATTTGCTTGTGGACTCTTTGAGGAGGGTACTCAGGATCGAGTATTGTATAGTATGGTTTCATTCATCCAGCATGGTTCACCTACCTATATAGAACAAAAACCATGAGTTCGTCGTGCCTGAAGGTAAACCCCTCAAAAACAGTGTTCCTATCAAGAGCATGCCGCATGCCTTGCTTTTCCAATCACTCAGTTTCACCTCTTCTATACCTGTTGGCTGGGAGACTCATTCCACCGGCGCCGTATGCCCCATGCTGCATACGAATGCTCCTCTGGTTGGTATGGCCCCTGGTACCTGAGAAGTGCTGTGTCTTCAGACTTCGGATCGTTTTCACTGTTCATGTGCACTTGCTGACTTGCACAGGTCTGTACCAAACTTTGGCAGGCCTTGCACTGACTGTAGGCCATTTTGTTCCTCTGGTCATGAATGAAACGACTGCTCAGGCCGAAAGTCGTCTTGTGACACTGTTCAATCTAACCCCTCCCTGAGTATCGTTCGTATCTCGAGATTCAAACTCAGCAGAGGTGCGCCACCTCCTTCCGCGAAGGGGCCAGCAATGACAGGCTCTCCTTGTCCTCAGGCAGTCAATCTGCCGGTTGAAACGCACACCTTTGGGGCAAGCTGGAACGCTCGAACACCTGTAAAGAGTTAGGGACGATTTCTGGTGTGACGTCCGCCCGAAAGAAACACCATGTATAGTATGTGGACACCACCACTTTATATGAGACACCACCACTGTGTGCCCTCAAACAAAGATAGCAATTCCACCGCTCCGGAAGTAACCCATGTAATTAATGAAAAAAATATATGCCATGTGCGCAGCATATGGTAATACAACCCCTCCCCCCCAAAAAAACACATGGTGGTTGATCTAAATTCCTTTCATCTGGAAAGTGCCTCTTCGCGAAAAAAAATTACCTTCGCGAACCCCATGTTTAACTTTCGCGAACTTTCGCGAAGTATGATCTTACATATTCAGAAGAAGTTCGGGTACATGGGTATATATAGTAGTTAAAGGAAAACTATATATAGGTCTGAAAAGATCACAGTAAGCAAACAAATAAGGGTCCCTTTACCTACAAATAACATACATGGTTACATGAACTTTCGCGAAAAAAAATACTTTCGCGAACCCTGTGTTTAACTTTCGCGATCTTTCGCCCGGTTGGTACTTAGTAACCGAAATGGCTGTTCCATATGAAACTCCTTTCATGGACCTTTAGATCGATGCCCACATACGCACTTAGATCCATGCTCGCAAGAGCTATATCAGTTGTGACTTCCCCGTGAAGCTAGCACTTTACGTTACTGACAGCTAGACCCTGACTTGCAAAACGGAAAGGGTGCTGGGTCGGCCAAACTGCCAAACTGAATTGTTTGAACATCACGCGTTGGCACTTTAGTGCAGTTGGACAACAGTTGGAACAATTGGTGCAGGTACGTGACTTCGGCATCCCAAAGTCCTTTCACAACACGATGGAAAGGTCTTCGTTGGGCAATGCCTTCCAAAGTGTTCATTGCCCCCCTGAAAGTCAGTACAGAAGTGTATCAAAAGGACAGTTACTATGGGTGGTTACTTCGCAATGTGGTCAGTCTCCTTGGATACAGGTGACACACACACACCCGCGCGCGCTCGCGCTTGCGCGGAAGAAAATACAACAACAACAACAACAACAACATCAACAACAACAACAACAAGAACCTCACCTAACACTCTAACACTAAATATATAACTTAAAGAAAGCACACTTTAAAGAAGTCAAAGGGAACAACAAAAGAACCCTGGCAAATCATGCTCTCCAAGACAGCTGATCTTGCCTTTAAAGATGTGTTGATTGATTTTAAGACCCTGGTCGTCCTTGGATGTTCTTAATCTTCCAAACAAACATACACCATCATACACCCCAAAGTAATACAGAAATAGCTCTGATGAAAGCGACCAATAGGTTAAGCACTCTGATCAGGCCCAGCGTCAGCGTCCACTTTTCCCAGGCTCACCTGTCGAACAAGGTGAGCATAGGTGAGCACGGATGTCTTCACCCCCCAAAAAAGATAGACAACAGCTTCAACAGCTTGAACAACATGCAACTAACACGGCCAAACGTCTGGTGACAACACTAAAGTTGGAGTGAAAGAACGAGGCTCCACATGGCTGTGTGCCTGAAGTTGTGGATGGGTGTTCAAACGAGCCACAACCGATGGCTCCACATGAATTCCCATCACTGGTGTTGAGCCCTATGTCTACAGTATATGTCACATGTGTTAGCTGTTGTCCACATTTCAACTGGACATCCTGCACTCCTTCATGAAAAACCGTCTGTGGAACAAACGGCGGTTCGCTTTTCACCAGCGCCCTGCGCTGGTGGGAGTTTCAGAAAGAAAGCGGACCAACCCGTCTCAACTCCACGCCCTGCGCCCAGAGTTCCATTCAACGCGTTGCTTGGTTTCGCCCCATCGGATCTGGGCATCGGAACTGCGCCAGCGTATATAAATCACATCTCCAAGATCCGAGGTCCTGGTTGGTGCTTAGTAGGGAATGAGGAAACCACTACTATAGATATAGGTCTATTGATATATTATGACATTATTGTATATGATACCCTCTAGGACCCATGCCCTTCTTCTCTGCTAAGCATCAGTCAGTCTAACGTCCGGTGGATTTTCGCTTCCAGCCCAACACGCTGCCTGCTGGCGCATCTCGTTTGCTGCTGTCCTTGGTCGTGTCGCGATCCGCGATCTGCACCTCTTCTATTAGGGAGTCCCACACTCAGGAGCAGTACTGGAGGGTAGGGAGATAGTATTCAATGAGGTAATTCTGGGGAATGGGCCTGTTGGAAATCGAACGGGATCGAACCCTTGGGACCCAGGTGGCTCCAGGCAGGTCTGAGGTCAACTAGGCGAGCCGAAGCAACGAGGGTTTCAAAAGCCAAGGGCTGGGGATGGTGGAAAGGGAAGGCTTTGTAGCATGTTCTGCAATATTCCCATGAGATGAGATGGACAGGCACGATGGAAAGGATTGGAGGATCTAAGTGAGTGCAACCAGGCTATAGAACATGGTAGAATAATCCAATCTAAACCAGTCGGATTTTGGACGACTCAGAGGCAGTCCCTGGGAGAAAAGACCGCAAGCGCTGTGTTCACCCGGCCGTGAGCTCAACAGATTGCTTCCGTTTGCGAGCGCGCGCGTAAAGCAAAGAGGGTGTCCATGATTTGCTGTCCAGGAACCTGGACAAATAGCATAGTATTCACCAGGTTTGGGGATTCACACCCAGTTCAGGAACATGAACATCACCCGATCCACTTCTGAGCCCCCATGCAGTGTGCACTTCTTTCACCATCTACTACACCTACACTGATTCAAATCCAGGGCTCAAGACTGCTTCAAAGTTAGCGTTGCGATCTCCAGCCCAAAGCAGCAATCGCTTCTTCTTGGCGAAGGCGATGGCTTCCTAGTCGGAAGTGCTGGCTTCCTAGTCGCGAAGTGATGGGTTTGGGAACTGGTTGCGGCTATAATCAAACAGTTCATGAAACCTGATTAGATATCTCAATTTCAGATCTCTTGAGATATGTACCTGAGTTCACCCAAAGACTCGCGGGTTCGGATGTCGGATGTCGGCAACCCCCTGTCAACACTATGTGCTGAAACACCTTTGACATTTTTTGGACTATGTCTGTTGCGTGACGATGTCAAGGCTACATCCCCTGCACATTCCCATCCCTGCACACCTCTTGGCTCTGGAAATCCCGCCAGGGAGGCGAGGTCTGCCTGGGCTCAAAACTGGCCAGCAGCGCAAGAATACCACTTCGGTGGACTGTCTGTGGCGCAATGCGCAAATGCTGAAAAACTGTTTGGTGACAAAATTGCCCAGTCACTGAGCACAATCAGTCACTAAGCACAATTTTGCTCTTCAGACGTTCAGAAACCTATATTATCTCCCAGGACCCTCCAACAAACTGTTTGGAGACCCTAGCAGGTGGTTTGTGGACACGCGTTGTCATCAGGAAGCACCTGTAGAGTCGGTGACCTGGTATATAAATATAGACTCCTGCCATATCCTCAGATGATTTATGTTCCCATTGCCGTGCTTGTCTGAGTGCTTCGCTACACCAAAAACGACCTCCATGATCGCCCCTCCACATCTCAGAGAGCGGGAGCTGAGCGCCACGGTCTCCCTCCCGAGGTTGACACCGGTTCCAAAGACAGCCATAGACCTGGAACGCTTAGAAACTCCAACGTCGTGGAGGTCATGGTCCCAGACTCGGATGATGAAATCCGAAGGCCAGTTGCAGGCGGTGGTGTTCCACTGAGTGTATATGACTGTCAGGCTATGACGCTTATGAAAACGGCCGTCGAACGCAAAACGATGAACAGAGACCTACGTTTTTGCTGTCTGGCCAGGATGCGTCTCGAGATATTCCAGTAGCTGATGTCGCTTAGGACCGCCTGGGTACCTCAGCAGTGTGGCCATGCAGTTAAAGGCAGTACACTTTCGGAAATAGTACGCCCGGGCAACATGGAACCTGACAATGGACCTTTGTGCGAAAACTCTAACTCTCCCTTTTTCCTTCTTGAGTTAAGGGCTACAGTAAACTGTCTTAGTGCCACTTTACGCATTCTCTTTACATACATGTCTAGCAACCTATTTGGATGCATGAAGTTTTGCACCCTCCTTAAAGTTTGGCGCTCAGACATGCACTTGGCACTTTATGCGTATTGGGTTCTGGGATTTCTTTACACATGTCCCACTTCTGTACATGAAACTTCGGCAGAGTGCTACTCTTTTCAGTATGCACTTTCCACACGAGTGTCAGGCTGACTGCATTTAGCGAAGAGTGGTAGTTCACTTCCGGTGATACCCGTCTGCATTGCCAAGCTGAATTCTGTTGTGAGGTAACACTCCTCCAGACCGGTTGCGGCTTACGCTGCTGAGGTATTGTCTTATTGTGAGCTTTGCGCTTTGCATTGGTTTCCATGTGTGTCGCGTTGTCCACCCGGCACTAGAGACCTTTGCTGCTTGAAATGCTTCCAACACTTTTCATGTTTGCCTTGCTGACATGTCTGTCGACGCTTTGCTGCGTTAGATCAACCATGCCAATCATTCAACGGCATTTCTTACTGCTTCGCCAGTGTCCATGAACTTTGTGAGTATGTCAGCTGGATTGCGGGTTCCTTTCACCTTGTTCACAATCACTCGTTTCTTTTTGACCCACTCTTGAAAAAAGAAATGCGCAACAGCGACATTCCTAGGAGGATGCGCCAGGAGCTCAGTTGCGGCTTACGAAGCTGCTTTTGCGTGATTCAACGTCGCCTGCCCAGTCGGAGTCACAAAATGCGTGTAGTGGAATTGCCTCTGCATCGGTGACATCTTCATCAAATTTTCTCACGTGTTCGTACTCTTTGGTTCCTTTCAGGTACCTTCCAAGAAGTTATAAAATTCTGCAAGTCGCATTCACGCGGTTCTCGGGTTCCCTTTGCAAGCTCTTTGACGCTAAATTTAATGTCATACCTATCCTGCGAGAGGTATATTGCGCTTCCTACACAACTCGCATACTTTGCTTTGTCAGCTTCGTCCAATGGATTGCCCTTTGTCAAATCAAGCTTTCCACCTGGAACTGGTGACGGTTTTGCATCTTCAAGTTCTAAGTTTTCAATAATGACCTTGATGTGTTTTGCGTTTGGTTTGGTCCTCCAAGTTGATCTTTATACGTCCTAAGAACTCTGACGTTGCGTGGTTGCCTAAGATTGGGTACTCCATCTTGCCCATCTTCAACTTGCAGCCTGCTCTGGGAAGTTGAAGTGTTCAAAACTTTCTCGGGGCCACAAATATCGACTATGTGGTGCAACAACACTGTTCCTGTCTTTTGGCAGCGGTAGATGCAACATCCAACTTTCCCCGAATGAACTCATAGTCTTCTTTCAACTCAAAAGTGAGGATCTCCTCAAGTCTGTCCCTGTATTGCGCCGCTGCTGATTGACGACCGTGCAGGTTTCCATCAACCTGCCACGCTATTTCCGAAGCCGGCACATTGTCCAATTCCTGTCTGACATCATCTGGCTGGGAAACTAACCATTCGTCATACTGCTCTAGCCATTCACGCGGTGGAACCATCATCACTGGCTGCCCTCTGTTGTCTCCCTGATCCCTGGCGATCAAGAACGCTGAAGACAAATCTGCCTGCACCCTGGGAAATCCTGTCTTCAAGCTGTACTCTTCCAAAATTTTGCGTGAGCATCCATGTGGAGTTGGACAAAAATTGCTGGAGCTCTCGGAACTGTTCTTGTCCTCTGCTTGCGCTCCTCTCTTCAACCTAGCTTTGGCAATACCTTCAATTACTTTGTCAACCCACTTGTGCCCAAACACCGTGATGTGCTTGGGCAACTCTCTTCTGTCTCTGGGCTTGAAGGCACCATGGACGTCATTCAACTTGCGCAACTCCTCCTTTCTAGCTATACTTTCAAATCTTCTGCACTGCAACCCATGTGATCTAAATAGTCCATGATGCTTGACACTGTCTCTGGCTCAAAGATTGACGAATGCTTCTTCAACCACTCTGCGTACCTATGGCGTTCCTTATCAGGAATGAAACTTCCCTCTTCACATCTCACATCTAAGCACGCCAAGCGGGAAATCATGCTGATTGTCTCCCTCCTGATTGGAACTGTGGCGTCTCCCATGAAGTCGGCGCTTGACTTTCTGGAGCCCATTCCTTCTTCCATGACTTGGTCAGATGGGGTTGAAATTCTGTGCACTTCAGGTTTTTGCACTACTGATGGTCCTGAAGGCTCAGTCATTCTCATCTTCTTGCGGCTTGCCTCCTCAACCGTGATTCGTTCCCCTTCATCATCTACCTTCATGCTGTTCTCTGACTGGTTCATCTTCGGTGTCACGTCCTTCTCTGCTTCTCCTTCTTGGTCGCAAGTTCTGGTTCATCACGCGACACCTTTGCCAAAAGCATTGGCGTTGCATGCTGGGACTGGAACTGCGACAACCTTCTCTGGCTCGTCGTCACGATCAATTTTCTCAAAGTCAATGAGAGCTTCAGTGCAATCTCTGGGACACGTTGCGCTTCCAATCCAGACGTTACCGGCTCTGCGCTACTCCTGGTGATACCCAGCATGAGTTCCAAGGTGCTCCCCTTGCAGATTCTGGTAATTACTGCGACCCTGGCGGCAACCTCCTGACCGTTCTATAAGTCTGGGCGCCGCCCGCCGTCATCACAATGTGCTCGTCGGAGTCGTTGCTTTTCCCCGCGTAGATTCCTTTTACTCTCCGAGCTGCTGCATTGCTCTTGGCACGTGGGAGTTTGGCCATGACAGTTTCACCGAGAGGGTTTAGTTCCCCAAGATAGTCATGTCCATGGATGACTCGATGCGCTGTTGTTCCACTCTTGTTAACATAGAAACAGGCCAAAGTCCAGCTACTGTGCCTCACAATCCACGGAAAGATGTAATGGCCGCACTGCATTTTCTCCTTGTATTTGTCCGCCAGCTCAATCATCCACGTCCTGATCTTCCCTGCGATCAGCCCATTCACCACGTCGCCGTCTGCCAAACTCTGAGAGCTATATCTGGGCGACTTCCTCAACTCCATTGCTGAACCCATATGCTCTTGCACATTGTCATAGAGCTTGTTCATCGAATTCTCCTTGTCCACCTCAACGACGACTTTGTCCCATCCAAGGAACTTTAGCCACCGTACCATTGAGAGAACTGCATAGTTACCTCCTCCTTTGCTTGGAACCACCAAGGAAAATAGCGACTGGCTGTTCCGTGCAAATGGCCGTGAGAACTGTAATCAGCCCTTTCTGCTTCTTTCCTTCTTCGACGTCTTCCACATTGCCATCCCTGCTGAAGAACATGTAGTCTGAGTAGACAAGGTGTTCTCTTGTATCTTCTTTGCGTCTTTCATGGCGCTTTTCACGCCCTTGGCCCATGACACAGGTTTCACACCATGGGTCAAAGTTTGCATGGTGCAACATGTGGTTGTCTCGCTGTTTGGCTGTTGGTTGGGCTGGAACTGCTACCTCGTTTGCCTCTTTTGTTTCACGCTTGTCTTCTCCTGGAATTGACGGTTCATATTCCACATCATCTTCCACTATGGTCTTTCCAGCGAGAATGTCTTCCATAGTTCTCTCCATGCCTGCAATGTCCTCGTTGTGTGCGTTGTCACGACTGCTGCTTGGCTCCTCACTTCTTCTCAACCGAAACCAAGTCTCACCTAACCCTTCAAAGCCAACATTCCTGTTTGCCAACCTCTTTGAAGTCCAAGCATCTTCCTCGTCTGTCCGTCCACCATCCTTGGTGGCTATCATTTTGGTCAACCTTCCTGGGCATATCTGGCCAAGTTCAACTGGCAAATTCTGCACCTTGTCGGGGGCAAACTTCTGGAACCTTGCCGTGTTGTGCTGTCTGACCAGGTGCTCGTCATCGTCTTTGGTTTCTGTCCTCCAAACATCTGGCTCCTTGAGCTCTTCAAAGCGGACGCCTTTTGTCACCGGTGATACCCGGCTTTGCCAGTGGTGTGACCCACACTGCTTGTCACCAAGGTGTCTGACCTTGAGGTACCATCTCTTCCCATGAAGCTCTAAGGGAATTGACTCACCAAACCTTGTGACCAAGTAGCATGAGTCCTGCTGAAAATGCACTTCGCGCCCATGAGTCAATAGACTATGGACGGAAGCTAAGCTCTCAGGTGCGTCTGTCACCGTCATTTCTACTACGGTGCCTGTCATACTTCCAACTGACACGGTGGGGTATTGCTTCCCATACACTCGAGAACTCTCAAGGGGTTACCTTGAACACTGTACAAGGGACGCGCAACACTGTCATCAACCTTTCCAGCAAGATCGCTGGTCCTGGCCACGCTTTCACATGCTCCTGAGTCAATCAGCAAATACTTCCACTCACCTGTGCCGCTGACGGCTGCCACCTTGGACTCTCCAACAGTGAAGATCATAGTGTCCGCGTTGGCTCCTTTCTGCTGTGTTCGATTGGCTTGGGTGTTCTCCGCTAGAAGAAGTAGGCCTACCTCGGCCAGACTCAACTGCGCCAACCTTCCAATAACAATCGTTCGCGATGTGTCCATACTTCTTGCAAATGTGACATTGTTTTCCTGCGTGAGGGTTTCCTACATTACCCTTGCCGCTGGGCTTGTCACCTTTTTCTCCCTTCTTACCTTTACCTTTTGTGTCACCGGGGCCTTTGCCTTTTCCCAGTCCTTTGTCACCTTTGCCTTTGCCTGGCTTGCCTTCGTCGGCCCATTCGCTCCAACCTTTGGGGCCTTTGTCTCCAATCACTCCAACCTTTTGCGCCTTTCCCGTTATCCTTGCCATGCTTTCCTTTGCCTTTGTATCCTTGACCTTTTCCTCTTCCACCAACACCTCCTATGTCCATGGGGGCCAGTCCACCATCGTCAACCTTGTCGGTCACCTTCGTCAACCCAAACTGGCAACCTTGAGGCCTTTTCCAGAGGTTCTTGTTGACCAAGTATTGCTCAACGTACTCCCTAATCTTATCATATGTCTCCAATGCATCGCTATGCATGAAAATGCTCTGTTGGAGTTCTTTGGGGACCACATGCGCTAAGATCGACACCTTTTCGTCTTGCGAAAACACGTTCTTGAAAGTTCAAACTCTCTAACTTCACTTTCCCATTGGTGAAGAGCAGCGCTCCATTGCGCAATGTCACTGGGGAAGTTTGGGTTCGACAGGTGCCTTCTCCAAACCCATGCCTCGGTGCGATACGACGGCTCTGAAAGTTTCACCAGCCTCCGCTGCACTTCAAAACCGTTGGAGTCATGAAGTCCTTGGCCGATCACGCCCATTGTTGGCTCGGGACAGTACTGCTTGAGAAAAGTGTACATCGCCTTAGACAAACGATCTTCCTCAGCGTCAAAGTGCTGTTCATCAATTACATCTGTCTGTTTCCCGTACTTCTCAAATCAGGAAACTTTGGGTGAACAGTGGAAGACCATGCGACAAACACATGTTTGAATCTCTCCCATTCTTCTTTCTTGCCACTATAGATCGGTGGTTTTGGAACATTGCTGGGGTGGATCAGTTTCAGTTCGTCTGACTTCCTTGAAGCTGCGGATAGCTGCGGCAGTGGTCTGCCGTCGCTGCTGTATTGGCTCTGCTTCTGCTGATGCTAGCCTGCTCTCGGTCTCCAAAAGTTTTGCAGCCTGACTCTCGTTTGCCACTGCGGATTGCCTACGCCCTTCCGTGAGAGCAACAACTTGATTCTGCAGCTGGGTCAGCTGCTGTGCGAGACCCTGCATTTCGTGAGCCCCCATCTAGCCTTGAACAAAAAACAGTACAGGGAGCGTACGTGCAAGGATTGCACTCAGTACCACTTGCGGTGGTACCCGCCTTGCCAGGAGTGATCCCTCTCTGTCCAGTTGTGCCAGTCCTGGTTGTACCCCGACTTGGAGTCTGACCGGCCTTCTTTTCCGTCACTTGCGGAAGAGCGGGCCCAAGAAGATGTCTCTTCCCAACGACGCCAGTGAAAACGATAATTGTTCTCTTCCACGGCCTGCTCGTTGTTATTGGTGTCCTCTTCACTCACGGACTCCCCTTCTGAAGAGTAAACGGTCGTTGCCTTGTGAGTCGTGTCTTCAGAGCGCGTAGCGACTGAATGCCAGACTGTCACGTTGTCGGGCTGCTCGACCTCAGCTGTTTCCTCCTTTGCCTGCTTTACTGAAGCGGGCTTTCCAGGTTCTGACCTCAGATCAGCACGAATCTCTTCCAGCACTGGCTCGTCAGAAGCGTCGGCTGCAGCTTCCCTGACACTGCCTAGACTTGCACTGGAGCCGAGATTCTCCCCGACGACTTGTGAAAGTTTGGGAACTTGAAGTGAAAGTTCGATGATCTGTCACGCCAGGTGCTGCACGTGGGTTTGCTTGGTACTGGAGTCCCTCGGCAAAGCTGTAGTCGTCTGCTGAAAGCGAACTCGCTGCACCAGGCCTGCTGTTCCACACTTCCTGGTTTGTGGCTAGGAGTTGCTCGGCCCTTTTGGCGACTCCTTGAAGGATGCGCTTCTCGATTGCCTGGGCTGAGTGGGAGCGATCCTTTCCTTTCTGCTTTCCTTTTCCCGTCTTCGCGGGAAGCCGGCCCCCCACTGCTTACTCACGCAGCTGGAGTGGCCCTTTTGCACTCGCCAGCGCTGCTTACTCACGCAGCAGCTGGACACCGCGCGCCCTCGCGGCGAATCGCGGCGATGCCCGCCTGAATCGGTGGATCCTGACAGCTGGAAGTGGGTCGGCCCACAACCTGCTCCGCTACCATGCGAAAACTCTAACTCGCCCTTCTTCCTTCTTGAGTTAAGGGCTACAGTATACAATCTTAGTGCCATACTTTACGCATGATCTTTACATACATGTCTAGCAGCCTAGACATGGATGCATGAAATTTTCATCTACAAGCCAGTGATTTTCAGGTTCCATTTTAATCTTCAAGAGCCTAATGGAAGTGAGTTCATAGTCATCCTTTCGGGGGGCGCCATCCACGTTGGCCCATGATGATGAGTCTTCCAGTGATGCGTCAATGCGTCCACTTCCAGGTGGGATCCGTGTCTCGAAGAAACCGTAGGTATCTTTTGCTGTGGATCAATTAGTTGGTTCAGAATCTACAGCAAAACCATGGATGTAACCCCAAAGGCTATGGTTCCTGTGAGATTTTTCCTCAAAGCAAGTCTTAGAGTGGATCTTCCAGATCCAAAAGCACACATGTCACACATGTTGAGGGGGGCATTGAATATGAGATCAAGAAGAAATGCACCAGCAGCAACAAAGCCTTCGAAAAACTGCATGGGTAGAATGGAGAAGTGGAACTGTTTTTTAGCACGTCCACTTCTTATGCCATTGGTTTACCCAGTCAGTACCTATACGTTGGAAGTTGGAAGTAGAAGTCAACAATCCAAACATACCAAAAACAATCTAAAGTAACGTCAGTCATCAGAGTGGTCCCAGGCATTGTTTGTGCTGGCAGTGTTGTTTCCCCCATCTCTGGAGTGCCACATCACCCCCAAACGGTTTTCGGGTGCTCCAGTGACACCGCCATCACCGGAGGCACCGCCATCCGGCCGGCTCTCATGCACCGTAACTCGTTCATCGGTGAGTCACTTGCCAAGAGGCTTCTCTAAGCGGCCACCCTGCATTAGGAAGAGGCTTGGGTACTTGTCGATCCCATGCTTGTTGCACGACCTGTCCGTGCGGTTTCTTTTCCCAGGTGGAGCCGTTTTTTCTGACTCTGAGCCGCTTTTGATGGAACATCCGAGAAAAAAACAAACTAATTCTTTTGCACCTGTTGGTTTTGAGTGGGGCGTCTCTTGATTGCTTCCCCAACACAGGTTTTGCAATGTTTTGGTGATCCGCTGAACTCTTTAGGGTAGATGCATTATCAGCAAATCGGGGTATCCAAATTTGTGACTGCTCAGGTGTGATTTCTCCGGACTTGGCGAACTTTGGGTGACACAAATGGCTGCTTTGGCTCAGCCATTACCACCCGATGGCACTGTGAAGGCCATAATATGGTAGCCACAGACGAAGAGCGGAGATAACAAATGACGTCATGTCTCCCCAAGAATCTCCCAAAACAACCAGAAGTCCAACGCTTGAGCTGAGCTGTGAAGGAGCATTTGAAATATCTCGCTGCGCCCCTCTAGATGTATATTATACGAATCAATACACTAAACATCATTAAAGCTCCTCTCTGTGGCTCTGGGTCCATGCTGCGGAAAAACCGCTAGGCCGTTCGTCCTCCGTCAACCGACGCCCGAGTCGTCGTCGTCGGGGAGCGACAACGACTGCCGTGACCCACCAAACCACTCTGATCCACTCTGCAGCTCCAGAGCTCCAAAGCTCCCACGACCAAAAACAAATAATCATCGCGTGTGCTAGGTCGGCCTTTCTCCATCAGGTGTGGAGCAATCCTTAGGCGTGGAATGAATCTCCGCGACAAAGTGGCTGCAAGGCCTGCCCGATTTTTTTCTGTTGGAACAGTACCAGGGTGAGGATTTGCATCAAGGATACTTTGGTTGACCCACTGACGTGATGGTCGTTCGCTACATGGTGGACTGGTCGTGCTCCAGGTTTTTGGCCCCTTTTAGTTGAGGATGGTAGGCAGTCGACTTCCAACGCCGAAGGCGAAGTCTTCCACGCGTGGGGCTTTGGGGATGGTACGTGCCCAATGGAGTTGGTATCTCCATTCTGTGGAATCAAAGACTTACACTGCCACTGTCCAAGCCAGTGACTAGGGCGCCAAACATTCAAAAAGTCCAAATCTGTTTGGGTCATGTGCCTCCTTTTGAACTTCCTGCGGTCGATGTTCATCCTTCCCGATTTGTTCCTCCTCCGGAAAAGCATACATCAGAATTGAAGTTGCAAAGTCAGTGGATCAATGCGAGTCCCAAAAAACTATTCCGACTACTTGGGAAGTTACTCAACTATAGCAATCACTCCCTGCGAGTTTGCCAGTTTTTTGTCCTCCCGAACTCGCAGAGGGCACATATATCGCATATATCGTATATATCTCTTGCAGAAAAGGCGCCACCCGAGCAAAGGTGAAATTGGGAGCCTGCAGAGCAGGAAAGGGGTGATGGGTGCAGCATATGGAACAATCCAACATAGCTTCTAGTTATCAGAAAGCTTCAACAATATACTAAAAAGATCGAAACAGCTTCTGGTTACTACAGGTGAAACGATTCCCAAGGAAACGATTCCCAAGGAAGCTTCTAGCTAGTAGTAGTCGTCGTCGTCGTTGTCGTCGTAGGAGTAGGAGTAGGAGTAGGAGGAGTAGGAGTAGTAGGAGGAGTAGGAGTAGGAGTAGGAGTAGTAGGAGTAGTAGTAGTAGTAGTGCTACTTAGTAGTAGTAGTAGTAGGAGGAGTAGTAGTAGTGGTAGTAGTAGTAGTGCTACTTAGTAGTAGTAGTAGTAGTAGTGGTAGTGGTAGTAGTAGTAGTGCTACTTAGTAGTAGTAGTAGTAGTGCTACTTAGTAGTAGTAGTAGTAGTGCTACTTAGTAGTAGTAGTAGTAGTAGTAATTAGTAGCTTCTTGTTACTAAACATGATCTGGTGCCTACAGGATCCTACCGGTCTGAGGTCTAAAGTCCAGGTCGGATTCGAAGGCTGGGACGTCCGGATGGCTAAGGCAAAGTACCCCAAACATCGCTCCAAACCCATTCAGAGAGGGGTCTTACCTTCCTTGTCTATCCTTTGATCCATTTCTTCCTTGTCTTTTCTCTTTGTTCCTAATAGCGATGGCCTCCCTAGTTTCTGATAGCGTGGGCGACGGCCGCAGACTTGGCGCGTCACGGCCGCTCGCACGGCTGGGCCGGCCCGGCCGTGCTAGCATGCTCCTTCATATTCCATGCCGCAGGAGGTACGTGACCTACTGGAAGAATTCTTTGGGGAATCATATTAATCATATTGAATAGTTAATTCATGGATGGGCATGGTGATGCATGGTATATATATATATATATGTTTGGCAATGAGTGCGAAAGGTGGGGGCTCGGAATGGGCTCGGAGTGGCTGCCGAAGAGGAGCACTCAAGGCTCCGAGGAGCTACGAAAGGAGAAGTCTCCTCTTTTGGGGGGGCGCCCAAAACCTCTAGCGTGGGCGCCCAGAGTGTCGTCTATAGCGTCTGAACTTGAGCCCAGGAGTAAGAGGAACAGTAAGAGGAAGTTCCTGGTGTCATCCGAAAGGATCCTTAAAAGCTATACCTTTCAATCCCTTCATCTTGTCTTGATGTATTTTGTTAGTATTAGATTCTCAAGGATCTCCCCATGTGCCTTCCATGACTTGCATGTTTCACGACAACAAACTAGAAACCGTCGCCTTCCGGGCGGCCGACTCGTAGGTGGGAGCGAACTTCTTGCAAGCACCGCAGGAGGGGGAAAAGAACCTGAGCTCTGTCAGTGGCTCTGTCTATCGGCGTTCGATCGGATTCCTGCAACCTGCAGGTTCTGTGTGGTGGGTGCTACAGCGGAAGATCGTGTGGTGCAGGGTGCGTTTCTCTGGGCGTGATGCGTTGATCTGAAATAGAGACACAACAACTACCCGTGTCCTTTTCAGCGTTTTCGCTACATCCTACCCGAACAGCAGAAGTGCACCCTATGGTTGCCCCAATTCCATCACCTGCACCACAATTGCGTCAACAAACACACGCACCTAGCTCCGTATCAACAGTTCCAAGAATACACAATCAATTTCAACCTACTGCTATAGAATCACTGGCGAATGAGGTCAAACAGCTCCAGAAACAGAATGGTATTATGTTGAATTTGTTGACATCTTTGGTTGGACTTCTACAAAAAACATTCGTCAATCACTCCATCATCTGTTAGTTCCCAGCATTTGTGAAACCATGTGAGGAAGAGATGGAAGGTGCCCAACATCAACAAAAATTTAACATCACCAGCAAAGCCTAAAGAAAAACACCAAGGGCGCGGGGGACCAACTGCATTGGAGCCGGGTGTCCCTCCAAATGCTCCCAGTTTGAGTCGGTTGGGGCAGGTGCACTTGTCACTGGATAGGAAGTTGAGGATGTCATTCAAGCTGATCCACTGGTCAAGCGATCCACTGAGTGGGGTCTTAGGTTGGTCTCTCTTTTTCTCGGGACCAGTCCCAAAGAACAAAAACACACAGCAGTCCATCGATCATCCTCACCTCTCCGAGTTGCTCCATGTATCCGGTCACATTGCGCTCCAAGAGTTGCCTGGGATGACTGTCGAAACCGAGCCTCTTCCTCACCGCTCACAGGTCGACAGGTCCGTCGGTCCAATTGGAGGGTCCGGACCCTCAAATAACGTCTGGCCCCTAGTTAGGAGTCTTAGGAGGGTCCATAAGCGTCTGGGTACAACCATTGCTAGCTTACCGTTTTGTTCACCGTCCGCGTCTGGCGTCCATGGGCGTCTGCTTTTCTTAAGCCGAAGTCTCCACCTTGTTCGACTGCGTGGTGGGGTGCCACCATGAATGTGATCGACTTTCACCGGGAAGAGGATGGTAGGGAATCCGGTAGATCCCATTGACAACTATGACCAAGTGGATGATGTAGAGGCCAGTTTTCGGGCCTTTCCCACACATCGCTAGGTATGATCAATTGGGTGCTCCAATCAAAGCCATATCACAACAATAACACAGTGAATGGTTGTTTCAAGTTGCTTCAACACATTTCCCAAAAATATGTATCAACTGGTGTAGTCCTTCCAAAATTGTCAACGACAGCACCAACCAGAACATGTCTGAGACAGCTTCACAGGGACTTGGCGAGTTTCACACTGAGCCAAGCTCTCTCCCTCTCTCTCACTCTGAGTTCTGGCCGCATCACTGAACCCCACGCCCAGCCAGAACAGTCTCATGGTCCAGCTCTTGGGAGGGAAAGCCAGATCGAAACATGCCAGCTTTCTCCACTGTTGAGAGGTGAGGCCCCAGCCACCCATCTCCACCCATGTGACCATGTCATAAGCCGCTTAAGCCCAAGCATCTGAAGCTCTTTCTCATTGCCCAGCTCAAGGACCGGAGCCTCTTGAGATCGAAAGGCTCCACCCTGCTCTGGCTCGAAGGTCTCAGGCACTGACAGTGCCTGAGGTGAAAAGGAGCAAAACGCGTCTGGAGGACCTTCAACATACGAAGTCCCACAGAAAGCTTCCTCCGTTTTTTTCTCTCCCACCACCCTACAAAACGCCAGTCAAACACACCCACTGACAGATGTGTGTTTCCAATCTTATTCCCTTCCCACTCACGAGACCCACCCGTCCTGTCACCACCCCCTTCCCCCCCCCTCCCCCCCCTTCCCAAACCTCCAACCCAGCTCGGACTGATCGCACACGTCCCTCCATCGAACGGGGTGCCCTGTAGCGCCGGGAGTGCTCCAGAACCCAGGGGAGGATCCTCAGCGGGGGAAGTCGTCCCAAGGGCTGGGGCAAGGCCAGGGCGGGTGGAGAAAAGCCAGGCAGATTGGAAGATCAAGGAGGGCCCTCCCACCGGGATCCTGGAGATGTTCGAAGTGAAGGAACCTCCAGAAAAGGGGCTGGAAAAAGTCTCCTGCACAAACCACTGGGGCTTTCAAGACCTGCAATGAAGTCATCCGGTGCACTGTAGATGAGTTTTTAAAATGATGCGATGTGCAATACATCCTGGCTCCTGAGCCGGAGTAGAATCCAGGTGAACCAAACTTTCCACTGATTTTGAGTGGGGTGCCCCCGTCCATTCCACCAAAAAACAGGTCGACCTGCGTGGTCCATGTTTCCTGGCGTGGGGAAGTTCGGGTCTCTGGGAACATCAAAAATAATAGTAACTCGATCTGCAGAACTAGGCCAGTGAAGGCCCCCAAACTTCCCCAGTGGTTTCAGAGGTTCGATGGCACAAATCCAAAGACGTCCTTCATGCTGGGGTCCATATTAATCACTTTTTTGGGATGGTGCCAGCTACTCTGAAACCACCGTAGATGGCATCGGCATTTAAAAAAAAAACAACAACAAAATTCAGGTGAAAACTCACTCCACGTAACATCACGTCGCCATGGTTTGTTCAGGGAGTGTGTCCACTATATCTAGCTCCTACAGGGAACTGCTGAAGTCACCCCACACTGTCCCACAAGTGTCTCTCCCCCAAGGAATTGCAGCAAGCAAGAACTACAAAAGTGCGACGATTTTCCTGGAATGCTCTTCCCAAGCTCAATTCAACATTTGCAAAAGAACGCGGCGACTTTGTCATTTCGCTGTAAGACAGCTGAAGGAGCAGTTCGACGACTCCGTGAAGTTTGGGGCATGTTCGGTCGAACAACTCCATGCTGGCGTACAAATGGTGGACATTCAGTGGACCATCCATGTATGGAAGAGTTATATTTACCTACATTGCAGTCTTAAATGGAGTAACTGTAAACTTGCATGTATCTTGTATGAATATAACTATTATGGATGGTCTGGGAGGAGTGGACATGGTACTTTGGGGTGGTGAATGGAAAGGTCCTCGTCGAGTGAAGCCCAGCCCAGTTCGAAAGTACTTCTATAGTTAGTTCTTTGTGTGAAGTCAAGAAAATTCCGACATCAGGGCCGGCTCCAAGTACCTCCTCAGAAGGTATTTGGACATATTTGGAGCCTCTAAACCTACCCCAGTCCCACCTTCTTAGAAGGTACTTGGAGCCCTAGTCAAACCATTCTTTGAACATATCTCTTTATAGCACCTGACCCCCAGGGTGCAGATGGTGCTCCCAGCATATCCACACCAAGGCGAAGGAGCATGGGGGGAAGGACGTATTGTTTGGCACACGTGTAGAAGCTACTGTTGGCTTGGCACACCGGTGACAGTTTGTTATGTTCGGGGGACTGGGACATCTCATCATAAGACTCCCCCAAGCCCATTGGAGAACAGCACAATCATCAAACAACACTTGAAAACCAAAGAGCAAGCTTTCCAGATTGACTTCTTGAATGGCCCGCGGAATCCTTTCAAACAAGTCAGACCCTCTGGACAGGTCTTCCAACTTCTATTTGGGGCGACCTATCCCAAACACTCCCGAAAAAACTCATCAACATCAACTCATCAACTCATGTCTCCCACGGATTCAGCGAATCCCACTCATTCCACCACCCCGGAATTGGACTGAAAAGAAGCTGATTGAGCTTTGCTCTCAGCAGGGTGGTCGACTTCTCCAAGGCGCCCTTCTTCCTAGGGCCCGTGGGCGGCCGGATGTCCTAGTGGGTTGTCTCCGCGACGAATCGACATGCGAAAAAATCATCGGAGCCTATACTTGACTACCAGACTGCACGATTAGCATTGTCTTAGCGGCTTAGCGTTGTCTTTGAGTTCTTGCCATACTAAGGCTTACTTACCCACTGCATGGTGGCCCAAGTTTGGTGGACTGGGTGTACGCAAAACCCTGCCGCTCCCCGAAGAAGATCGGGGTTTCCACCGCACCAGCCATGTCCAGCTCTTTCTGGCACCATGTCCACAGCGGTGTTTTCACTCTGGTGGAGGGTGTCCCCAATCCCAACCCCCTCAGCTTCCTTGGAATGAAAGAAAGTTCAATTAAGGTTGGAGGCCATCGCTAGCAGGTTGGAGGCCATCGCTCTTAGGACCTGCAAGTATGGGTATTTAAAAAAGAAAACTATATAAGTATGTTTCATTCGTTTTCACCTCTTCTTGTTTAGTGGGGTGCTGTGTCCCTAGTGTCCCCGAAAAGCTTCTTGCAGGTGATCAACTTTTTGTGGGTAGTTTCGCCCAACCAAATTTCCTTGTTGACAACGAGGCGTAGGAGATTCTTTGCGCGTCGCGAGATGAACAGGGGTATTTCAAAGGCTTTGGCTCACTAGATTCACTAGATAAGAGCCCCCCCAGAATTGCAGGACATGTGTCCTGGGAAGGGGTTACTTTTCCGTTTGTTGCGGTCATCCCGCTCTGATCGAAGGCGACCATTGAACAACTCTCGTCATACCAACTGCAAGTACTCTCCCTGGAACTAACGTGAAAGTGGAGTTCGGCACCTGTTTGGTCATCGGATTTCATGGTCTGCCATATTCGGGGCCATGCCAATCATATTAGTTCCAGGGACTGCACCCAAGCATCGGCCAAAGACCCCAAACCCGATCTGCATGATGCCACCTACTCCCCGACATGCAAAAACACCAACACGCAAAAGCAAACTGTCTGTGCGCACCCACCGGATTTGAATTGAGGAACCGGGAATATGAATAGTCGTATTGAATAGTAATTAACAAACAATCACCAATTGCAGACATACTTTGCCAATTTCCTTTGGGACTGACTCTGATTCACCCACTTCACCCAAAACATCCACACATCACCCGATGTAAATCATCACATGAAAATAAACCACCATCCGCCTCGGCGGCTGGTCGCCCTCGAACTCGTGGATCTCACCAGCCCAGCGGATTCCAACGGATTTCTTCTCCACGTCCGACTCCTGAGAGGAGCCACGTCGTGTTTTTCTTTCACTTACGCCTTCTGGAGGTTACGAAGCTCGAGTCGGGAGCGGTTTTTCGACGGGATTCGACGGGATGCCATGCCGGGAGACAGGGAGACGTTGCACGTCTCGGACGATGGAAGCTGAGAATGGACTGGTGGAAAACCATGTTCCGAATACCAACCCAGTTTGTTTGGGGTTCCAGGTTAATCTGTGGGGAGACGTAGTTATCTGTACAAAAAGATTTCATCTCGATTGAGCAAACTGCCTGGAGCAGGCAAGGTCGGCCCTCCAGTTCACAAGGAGGCATGGGGCACAGACCCTTTGTGGTACTACAGCATCATCATTCAACTGCTCGACTCTGCTTCTCTAGTGCCGGTTGCAAGCAGCTTTTGATGTAGTGGCTGTTGCCAGCCGGCAACTGTTCACACGTGAGGCCATCCCATACCCATACCCCACCTCCTTGCGGTGGTGAGTGGTTACAAGGAGTAGTTTGTGCAGCTAAGCAACGTTGATATCAAGGCTTGTCAAACTCATTGTCAAGAGAACACGGCCCACACTACGCCAAAGGATCTGTAATACAAACAAAGTTCATCTGCAAACATGTGCGAAGTTGCGTGTTCGAGGTTTTGCGGGCTCATGATTCCACACCGTCGTCTTTCGCCAACGCTTCATATCATGGTCAGTGCAAATGCATGTTTGGCTAACTCCCAGAGCTCTTGCCCTGGACAAATGTGAACCCGGTGTCCACCTCTTGGTGCTGAAGTGATTGGCCTCCCTCTCATCCCCTCCATCCATCCCAATCCCCCCGCTGAAGAAAAGGGTTTGCAGGTGATATGCCCTTCATCCACGGCTTCCGACGGACTTGACACCGACACTGCACCGGACTTTGATCTGTTTCATCCTTCTCTCTCGGCGATCTGCTCGGTGAGGACCCGCCCTGATCCGCCCACACCAAGCGTCGATTAAGTAGAGACTCGGTGCACTCAAGCCGCCGATGCTCGCCGCCGCGTAGAGGCCTCCAAGCGATGCGGGCAGGGCCGCGCGGCCACAAAGGAAAGAGCGAGGCCGTGGTGTAATTAGACAAGAAGGGTTGAATGATTCAGCTTGCCCAAACACTGGATGGATATGCATGGATGATGGATGGCATATTTACACACATTGGGTTGGTTGAAAAGGTATCAATGTAGGTTCAATGATGGTCATGATGGATGGATATCCATGGAGTGTCTGGCTTGTGGCGAAAGCTAGGCCTGGAGACATCTGACACTCGACTTCTCCCAAGCTAGGTGTCGACATGTGGGGCTTCGTCATGGAGACCGGAGACACTCGGTATTGGACGGTGTTCAGCTCTACCCACAAAATCTCATGAGTGAATTGTGAAATATCCTATAGAGGTTGAACAGCCCTTTTTCGCCAATCCCATATATGTACCCACTCTTTACTACAGTACCCCTCCTATACACACACATATATATATATATAAGGTCTCTGAATCTCTCTTGGGTAAACTACAAAGTGCCTCCAAGGAGAAACTACTGAATTCCCCCGGCCGCACCTCAGATTTTAAGGGAGATGGCATTGAAACAATTCTTGCATTGGGGGAGGACTTGTGACAGTACAGCCTTGCCAACCTGATTTAAAACAAAAAATCAAAAACAACGTATATATATATATATACATAGCTTGTCCAAGCTTGGTCTTTGCAAGCAAGTCACCCAAAGGCACCTCGTTCTTCCTCACATCCAAAGCTGCCAACCTGGGAGGCCTGCCATTGACACCCACACGGCATACAGCACGATACAGCACAAAATGCAAAACATTGAATTCAGTGAGCTCCAAAGTGCTGCCCACGTTGCAACGCCTATCAGAGGTTTTTTTCTCGGCTCTCTTTTTGAGGTCTCATAGAATCAGTCTCTTCCGTTCTTTCAAGGCGCAGCTGAGAAACTTCCCCCCTGTCTTGCTGAGTGTTCGCCTGGCGCAGCTCTTGTTGAGCCACTCCGCCAAGGCATCCAGAGCTTCCATCTCATCTTCGAACTCGATCACCTCCACAACCCAATTCGCCTTCAGCCTTCAGCCTGAAAAGAAAGGTTGACCTGGTTCGATAGGAACACCAAAGGTTGTTTGGGAAATCTATTGAGTCATATTGAATCAATGGTGCTTGAAATTTCAGGGTTCTGAGAAGGTGGGACTGGGGGTATCTGGGGAGGGAGGCTCCAAGAACCATCTGAAGAGCTACGACTGGAACGGGTCACTCATCAACATGTTCTTCCAGATGCCAAAATACCATTCAGATTCTCAAATCGGGATACACTAGGGTAGCTCGGGACCTGACTTTCCCCTATTTTCAAACCACGTCGACTGGCGTCATTTGAAGGAAACATGGCTGCTCCTGCTCCTCCAATTGAAAATCGCTCAGTGGTTTCTATAAGACACCCTGTCCGCTACCCTGTCCATATATAACTATACATGTTACACGGGAGAAGCACACACACACAACACACCGACCTCGATGGACCCACGCAAAGCTCGCCGGAGATGCATCTGCCACACCCACCTCCTCATCGCTTGAGATGCTGTCCGGAGATTTGAAGGAATAGAGCAGGGTCACTGGCTCCGCCCGAAGCGCCTCCTGGTCCGAAAGAGAGACGCTCCCTGAGACGTCTCGGCGGCCCTGGTCCGGGAAGTCGTGGTTTGATTTACGACAAATAGATGTAAATGATGTACCTCCTGAAGCTCCAATTAACCCCAAGCAACGCACCAGAATCCCAGGAAAAACATAGTTGCCCAAATTATCCACGAACAAAACGTCAAAACGCACTCTGCCTCGAGGTTCACGTTCACCACCTTTTGCCAGAGCTTCTGGGACGTTTCGGACACCGGTTTTTCCGAGAGCTGCTTGGGGCTCCTGGTGCTGCTTTGCCGGCATGCCGGGCTTCTTCGTCGGTTTGGATGGTGCTACATCGATCACGTGGTAGATCCATGGTAGATCCAATATGATCCAAATAGACGTTACTCTTCAGCATACATAACCCCTAACAAATATACATGTATACGTGTTTGACGGTCCGTTGGTCCGTGTTAACCATACATGCTTTACTAGTACTAGGCGCTGTTCCATGTGAGCAGGGAAAAGCCGCCCCCGCAGGGCTCACATAGCATGCGAACACGTTTCAGAAGACTGCACCCCCCAGGATTCCATGTTAGTTGGGTCTTGCCGTTGCATGGAACACATGTGAATGAATCTTTCACAGCCCGGGGGGTCCGGCTTCCTAAATTGCATAAACCCTCACACAGACACTACCCCTCCGAATAGCTTCCACAAATGGCTTCCATCCTTCAAGATACAGTGCAGTAAGCTGAGAGTACTCCCCAGAAATGTCACCCCGTGTTCTATGTTAACGCTGTTTGATTGATTCTGTCAGTGCAAAACAGCAATGGTACAGTACTGGCCCGCCCTTCTTACAGTACAGTAGCACGGTGCAGAACATACTGTAATCCAAATAGGGCTACAGTACCGAGTGAAAGTGAACAAAAACAGCAAAACCAACAAGTGGAAGCACTTCCCGCACAAATGTCACAGGTATAGTCGTGCCTGTTCTCCCCCTGTTTGAAGGGAGAGAGGATGCGTGGAAAGAGGAAACCGAGACTAACATAGAACCTCTGATACAAAACATTTGGACGCCTGTTCTATGTTAAGCTATGTTTGTGCCTGTGTGCGTTCCGTGTTACATGTTCTTGGATTTGGATCTATGTTTGTTTCCTAAAGTGTGACCGAACTCCAAGGTAAAACATCAAGAACCTTCCAGAACATACGACTAGACAACGAACACATCTTGCACTGGCACAACAAAGAACACTGCCCAGAAACACAATATAGAAAGAACATAGAAAGAACGCATCAAAATGCCTAGCGCTTGATGGCATACACCCCAACCTCTTGACCTCAAGGATCATGATCCTGTCTAAGAAGCAAATCCCCACCCAAAGACTCGTTTTCCACTGGCCAACTGGTCATGACCTTTAGAGGGCCACCTCTGCAGGCTCGTCGCCGGATGGCCTACAGGGGGCCTCTTGGAGTGTCACAATGGCTTTGACGGCCTTGGGATGTCTGGAGATGTCTGGGGTCATAGTACTAGAGGTAGTTTGTTGGAGGTCGGATCATTGAACTCGTATACGGCCCGGCCTGCTATCCCTTATGACCTGGCCTGATCGTCCCCGGTCATCCCGGTCAGCACTTGAAGAGGAAGTCTACCTGCCACCTTCACCATCCAAAACAAGCAGGTGAACCATGCCTTGGATGTCTTAATTCCGGCATCGGAACTGGGAACAAACATATTCCCCACACATGCACTAATACACAAAATCTGCAAGACATGTTCCAGGCAAATAAGGGTGTTCCTTTCAATCCGCCAACCAATGGGCTTCAATCAGCTTTCCTACTTCCAGGGGTCAAACTGGGAGGTCTCTCATGGTCTCCCTATTGCAATATTATACACTACGCACAATGGACCTTCGTCGCATCCTGGCGCGCCGCGTGGCGCAGCTGGGCCAAGGCCCGCCCCTCTCCTCCTCATCAGGCTGCCCAGCCAGTCCGCCAGGTCTCTCCCCGTCTCCTCGACCAGCAACTCTCGAACCTGAGGGACCTTTATGTTAAGATCAGCAACCTCCTAAAACCCAAACGCTCCATGGGACTGGCATACTTGCCGATCAATTGGGGTGGTGCCAGGGGGGCCAATGGCGCGGCAGTCCTATGGCAGTCCCGTGGAGCGTCTGGGGAAATATGGGCCCTTTCCCATCAAAACAGGGGTCGTAGAGAGATGATATGACAATGAGTAATGGACAAACATTCTCTGGCGACCTCTCGGACCGAGGGAGGGAATGGTCAGGGGAGATCGCCGAAATCTCTTTCCATTCTAGAAAAACCCAACCCGGCGCCGACGCAAACCATAGATGTTGTCAAATCCTATACCGATACCTGTAGAAGCGAACCTGTTTGGCCGGAAACCTCTGGAAACCACAGGTCGTCTTCATCTGGGTCCATCTGCGTCATCCGGTCAGCACTTTCCTTCCTTTCGTCTTTTAGTCTGTTGATGTCTTTTTGGGTAATTACTATTGAAGCATAACTATATTGAAGCACACTCTCAGGACTTCATGTTCAAACCGGCTGAGTGGTTTCCTGGCTTCATGGTACCGGTCCAGTGGCCACGCAGAAGTCGGCCGCTTCTTGTTCTGTGGAAGCACTTGATGAGCATCTCATAAATCCCCGAATCCAAATACTATGTATAAAACAAGATGAGTCGCTTGAAGCCGAGGGCATTCAACCTACCGGTGCGATGGTGCAACCTTTGTCTTTTCCCACAGAATCTGCGATAGCATCCAGTGTGTTGGAAGCACCCAGGCAGCGATGTCAAGCCAAGCGTCTGGGAGTGTTCCATTCTCTGAAAACAAGTACCTCCGCACGCGACGGCGAGGGACTACTGAGGTGGTGATTTGGGGTTGCAACCTGCATGACAAACCAGGCCCAAAGCTCTTCATCGAGCAATGACCCTGAATTGCACTCCTCAAAGGCAATCAAATGCAATCATATCTCCACTCAGACTCTCGAGTTGGAGCCAAAATCCAGCAAGACCAAACCTAGCGCTTCGGATTCCACACATGCCTGGTGTTGGGTTGGCCATCCCATCCCACCAGTCCCTCCGAATCACCCCTGCCCCTGCCTGGGCCCATGTCGGAAGCGTTGGGCCACCAAGGTCGGGGCTGACCAGGCCTAGGACGCGGTGCAGGAGACCTCCGGTTTTCCAGTTCAGGCGCGGACCTTCCAGCAGTTCAGGCCTGTACATGAGAAGGTTCAATTTGTTTTAACAACGCTTTTTTTGTTTTAAGCAAAGGCCGTTGCACGTTGATGTATGTTCAGTATTTACCTGTTTATGGTGCAAAGTGGTCAAACTGATCTTGCTCCCACCGTTGCATTTTGGAGGGGCCTTATGTCTTATGGATGCTTTTTCTGAAACAAAACTGCGCAGCTGAAAACTCTACTTGACAAAACTACTTCCTACGGACGCCGCCTCGCCAAGAAAAACAACAGGGTGGACTACACTCCCTGACATTATTATGGAAGGGTGGCGTGGCCCGGATGACCATTTTCCTCTACAAGACTACAAGCAGGTGGTTTTCCACCTCCATGATTGCTTCAGGGAGTGTATGCCAAATTTTGATAAATTTTGCCTATCTCCAAGTGGCATACAGTTCCTGCTCCACAAAGGTGGGGAAACGGGCCAAATCCACTGCCAGCACTAGGCAGCTGCTCTTCCTCAGGGGCCCGGCTCCGAGTTGGCATGAGACAGACTTTCTGCCCAAAACGTCCAGCGGCCCAAATCCCTAGCAAAATGACTGCCAACAGGTCTAGCCGCGTCTTCTTGCATGCAATATCACTGTACAGTAAGCAATTGGGAGTAGCTGGGTTGGCAAAATGAGGCTAGGTATCTTCTGGAGGGATCATGTGCCATGCTGATGACGCAAACAAAAACCCCCCATACATGTCCTTGGCCTTGACGTCAACCTATGAATGTGGAAGGCAAGCAGTTCACCCCCCAAAACCCAGGCTTTTGGACGAATCAAAATCTGGTGCTGTCTTTACATCTATACAGTCCGGAAGCCCGCATCCTCATCCCCAGTGCTTCTCCAAATGTTCCGCCCAACTTCGGTCAAGACCGCCGCCGCCGTAACGAGGCAGGCGAACGAGGCGTCAGCCGAAGGCGATTCAAGGGATGGGTACCGTGTCGCCCGATCCCGAGCCTCCGAGCACTGTGGACGGAGTCAGGGCTCTTGGCTTGGTGGGATTCAGAAGAACAAGGAAAACACGACCAGTCCCGTGGAGGAGCGAGTCCGTGGGGAGCTTGACCGAAGATCCCTCCCAGTTTGCTCGAACCGTCACCTGAAACCATCCAGATGGGCTCTGCTCCGAACTTTGTGACGACCCAAGTGGCGACTTCGCTTCAGCCTCGCCCAGCGAGGCGACACAAGACTGGAGTGGAGACATATATGGGTCTCACTGTGGCTTTCTGGCTGCAGGTCTCACCCTGGACCCTCCAAGGGGTGTCCAATGGAATACCCCACACTACCTATAGGCACCCCTTGGAGGGTCCTGGAATGTCCTGGACTGTTGTACTTTCTCTGACTTTGTGGATGCACACAGCATTAAGAGTCAGCAGTCAGTGGCACAAGGGCCCCCAAGCTGGGTGGTTTATATAATATATATATATATATACACCAGGACCCTCCAACAAGCTGTTTGGAGACCCTAACAGGTGGTTTCTGGGCACCAGTTGTCACCAGGAAGCACCTGTTGTTTCAAAACAAGTCCACACATCTTAAGGTGCTTGTGCTATGGCCGCCATCGACTCCGAAAACGGTCAAAAACTTGTACGGTCAACATGGTCGGTCCGACCGGCCTCTTGTACGGTCAACATGGTAGACCGACCGACCATCTTGTACGGTCAACATGGTAGACCCCAATGAAAATGAGAACTGTATGACCTGCCGGACACCTATAGAAAGCTACAAGGAAACACCGTTTGGGATGATGTTTGGAGTGGTTTGGAGTACCACCCCTCTAAGTGGGTCCGGTCTTCTGGCATGTTGTCCATATTACCTGGAACACCCTCAAAGCAGGCCGAACTGGAACACCCTCGGCCCTCAGAACTGCTCCAAACAAAAGAAACCAACCAAAAAAGGACCGTCTTCAACATCAGAGGTCTGCTTTAGTCCACCTTCATCTATTAAATTTACTTCCAATAGATGAAGATCCAGCCCTTTCTCTTGGATTTGCTTCAGGAATCTAGAAAAACTACGGACTATTCCATACTATTCCTCAGAAGGGGATGTACCCACAAGGAAATGCAAAGCATCACCTCAAACAAACCAGGTTCTCTGCTTCGCCGCGATGTTCTTCAGCTCAGACACTCGGTACAAGCGCACTCCTTCGTCCAACACGGCGCGCCAGGGCGCCACATGGGTTTCGAGAGCCTCGCGGGTCGGTCATGGCGGAACGAGCGGGTTCCGCTCGAAGCAGCGAGCCGTTCGCTGAGCGTTCGGAGCGGTGTCCCATGGGACATGATACCCCGGATCCCGAGGGTCGACTCCATGGGTCGACTCCATGAACACCATCATGGTCGACTCCAGGAGCTCTCAGACTTGGAGGCTTTTGGGGTTCATGTCCGAATCAAAGGGCGGGTTGAGTATCATGCCCCTCACCCCCTGGCTCCGGGCACCAAACCTGGAGAGAGTACTGACCAGGCCTGGCCAGTTTCGCCGCCAGCACTGCAACTCTGGTCGCAAGCCTGGCAAGCAGGGTTTCTGGAAGGTGTTTTTGAGTGGTGATAAAGGTGCAAACCACAAGACGCTACGTACCCCACCCACAGCAAGTCCAGTTTGGAGTAATAATGGGAGGGCTATAGCTCCCTAACTGAACTTTTACCTGGGTGGTGGTGTCAACTCCGGACCCCCAAATATGAGTAGTGGGTGACAAATCATCCCAAGTAAAGTAAAGGTTAAGATTAAGCAAAGGTTGAACAATGTTGAACATCATAAACATGTCTGAAACCAGTTTCCTCCTACTTTATGTCGATGTTGGGCTGGGAAGGCAGCTGCCACCTTGCCCTCTGCTGCCCTCTCCCACTCGGAGGTCGCTCGTAGCACCTCGCTCGAGGTCCCGTTCAGCACGAGCCAAAGGAGAACTGCATCTTGCTGACCTTGACGAGCCCCCGAGCCGTTTCGAGAAACTTCTGGTTTCCAAACGGCAGGTGAACCGACCGTTTTCCACCTCAAGGAGGCCCTCAATTCTTGTGCAATTCATTCTAAAGTAGTAATTCAAAGTATAGCACAGACTACCGTTGTGAGAATCAATAGACTTGCCTTCTACAGGTCACAAGTTTCAGCTTGTGGTGCCAATGTGTGATAAAGTTGAAAAATATCTCACGCATGTGTTCACGTTAGTTTCATAGCTTGCATACCGTGTCATAGCTTTCATGCCTCGTCATCACCCTTTTCAAGCAGTTGCATCATGATGAAAACAGTGAAGCACTCACATGGAGAGTCGCCTGTCGCGGAGAAACCTCCGAATCGTTGGACATCGTCTGCGGGGTATCGCTGGGGCATGGAAGTGGAGTTCACCCCTGTGTCTAGAGTCTTCCACTCCTTTCCGGACCATGTTCCACTTCCTTTGTAGGATATTGCTGTCGTCATAAATCACATTTCTACTACAGTAAGATGTCGGTGGTTAATTCAGAGTCTATAAATTTGCATAGAATAGGATCCACTATCCAACAACTGGGGAACTGCGCCATGGGGGTTACGGAGCCTCACTGTGGATTAATCAAACACCAACGATCAGCAACGACCTTTATGCCGGCCCCAGCCAGCCAAGCCCACACAACACACCAGAGACCCACAAAACCAGGACCCTCCTTGTGACCTTTTGAGATTCCAGAATGAGGTCACTTAGGTCTTGAAAAGGCCACTTATCAATCCTGAAGAGGTCACTGAGAAGGTCCTGGAAGTTGATGATGATTGGGGCAACATCTTGATAGACACAATCCCCTCAAGGGGGGGACGGTGGGTGGGGTGATAGCTCTACAGGAGATCCATTCAGGCTTCCTTGAAACCAACTCCGAAACCCTAACCAGCACATGGATTCAACAGGTGCCCAACTTCTCGCTTTCGCCGTGGAGCTCTCAATCATTTTCATAGCCTTCTTGGGTTCGTCGACCATGATCACAGCCTCAAGGGACCAAGCCACACCGCGAGGCGAGGCCCAGCTGCTGGGTGAAAGCTTGGGAATTGCGGCCCTACAAAGGCCAATCAAACAGGAGTGAAGCTACTTGTATAACGGGAGACTGACCAACGGGAGTGGACGGCGCAAAGCACGCACAAAAGAGGCCCTTACGGTCCGGTGCTGTGGATCGTCCAAAGAAGGATCTTGCAGGGAGAGGAGGTAACTACCTTTTGATCAACAAAGGCGCCACTTCCAAAACTATCCGAAACGACCCGTTTTTAAATCAAACTACCATCACCGGCCCCGGACCATCCATGGGACTGGAATAGTTACCAACCTTGGGGTCATGTTCATACATATACGCACCAGGAGTCACAAAGGGGTGCCTATTGGAAGTTAGGGGATGCCCATTGTCTACTCACTTAACGACAAAAAACACCACTTACTTGTGACTCCTGGTAACTATTCCAATCCCATGGATGGTCTGGGATCAGCTGTCTTGGGGTGCTTCCTTCGGGCACGTGATCGATCTGGAGCTTCGCGGCCCCATCCCGCGTCCAACACGTCGGTCGACGCAGCTGCCACTCGGCCGCTCAACAGCTCCCAGAATCGAGCATGGCAAAATATGGTGCAATCACTAACAAGCACCTTCAAAGGGGTCTCCAACGGAATACCCCACACCACTTGTGGATCTCCAATGGACACCCCTTTGAAGGTCTAGGAAAGATGTTCACTGTTAAACTCAAGCATGTTGAATGTCAATTGTTAACATCTTCAAAGATGTTGTAACTACCGTTCAAGTCAAGCATGGTAATGCAATCAAGTAAAACATCACGATAAACTGTTCAAGTCACGCATGATAAAAGCCTGCACCACCCAGATTCCTTGCTCATTGCTACGTGCCGAAACTGTCCAGCACGGAGCCCCGAGCCAAGCGACTGGGAGAAGACTCTCCTTCACCAGTTGCTCAAAGCGCTCACCCTCCTCGTCCAGTGTATCGGCTGTGAGATCACCTCAAGTAGGCGGTGTGTGTGTGCCACCCGTGGAATCCAAGGGGGCCTTTTGGCTCTTCTCTTGGCTGGTCGTTTTTGAGCAGAAGCTGCCTGACGCATACATGGCATACTATCTTGTGTGTGAGTGTGTGTGTCAACACCCCGTCTCCAGGGACTTACACGGCTGTTTGATCTCCACGGCCGATTTGCCCAACCAGTCCAACAAGGCTATGGCATTTCGGTTGATGAGTGGTCTGATCAACCGCTTGTACCATCGATGATTTAAACTATTCTGTTGCTGACTCTTCAACTTTCCCGTTGCTCAGGGCTGTTGCGGGTTGAAGAGGTCGTTCTTGCACTAACTATAGATCGTCAAATGTGAATGCATCTTAACACCACCTTGAAACGTGTGTGTGTGTGTGTGTGTGTCAGCCATCTGTTTGAGGTGACTTCTGATGGATCTAGCGCAGGATTAGCAGTGTTCTTTTCGCGGCAGCTCCTGGTGAGGTGTCATACGATGTCATACGTGAGGACCAGAACCAGAACCTCGGATTGTGTAGGTGAGCTTATGCCCAAACACTCCATGGGACTGCCATATATGATATCATATGCCGCCCCATTGACCCCCATGGCACCACCCCAATTGATCGGCAGTCCTATGGCAGTCCCGTGTCTGGGATGTGGTAACCTACACCTCAGCAGAATCACATGGCCCCGTAAGACCTCAGAATCGGACTCACATGGTTTTTCATGGGTTTTCCTCAACCCAAGTGGTGTTGGGGGTCCATGTGGTCCTCTGCAGGAGGGTTGGCCATGTTTGGCAATGAGGTCTTGAACGCCTCGATCTGCCACAGCATCCACCTCCACACCCACCACACCTGTGGAAAAGCCCTGATGTCCCGGTTGACCGGGGAACCTCTGCAAAACGAGATCCCAAATGATCGGACTCCCAAACACTCCAATGTATGGAAGATTTACCTATACATGGACCCTTGAAGGCACCCCCCAAAGATCTTGAATAGGATCCAATAGGTAAACATGCCAAGTCCCATGAAGTGTCTGGCTATTACTTCGCTGGGTGGCCCTCTGTTTCAAAAACATGTCGTAGTTGCTCGCTGCCAATGGGGGAAAAAAACCAACGGGTCTGGAGCCTGGGAGTCGCCACTTCCCGCACCAGCCGGGTGATCTGCACAGCTTGCCCAGCTGTCCGCTTACCCGAGGAGCTCCATGTAAAGGTCGCGTCCGCTTGATGGGCATGGCGGATGGCCGCCGTCGCTGGGCCGCCGGTGGTGATCCAGAAGGCCTTCGAAGCGTGACCGTTGGGACGATGGAGACTGGAGAGATGGCCTTTTCGACAAGAAGCCCTCACTGCGGGCAAGATGCAGAACCATAGGTGAGTGTGGTTCCTATCGGTTATTTATGGTTATTTCATGTCATTTCACAGATCTGTAGCATTGGTATGATGTACAAGCTCTTTTGGATCCACATCTGCGAGTCCGACCAGTTTGCACCGCCGCAGGCTTGACTGGTCCTCCCCAAGCCTGCATGACACTCCCTGAAGCAGTCTTGGATTTGGAACATAGGCCCATTGGACCATCTTCCTCTACAAACATGATTCTTTCAAGGAGTATCATTAGCTTGCTTTCTCCTCCTTGGAAGGCGATCGATGTCATTGCTAGCTGCTAGACTAGTCGCAGTCTTGGAACGTGATGATCGATCACTTGAGGAAAAAAAAACACCAAAATCATACAGAAATCATGTATGAAGATCTTATGAAGAATTTTTACAATCCACATGTGTTCCAAAAATCAAGTCTAGACATGACATGTCGCGCAGGCTCCGTCAACTGGATGATCTGCGCAGAACACCGCCGCACACCGCGCGGTTCGTCGATTTTGGAGATGGAGAGAGGTCGCTCGTTTAGCCTCGAAGTGTAGCTTGTGCTCCTCTGCAATGCTTTGGAAGGCTGGCACCATGGACCTGAAACTGGACTTGACAACTGGTGAAGCATCAAGCTGTGGACGAGTTTGATGGCTTCAAAAAAAACAAATGACCATCCAAACCGGTCTCCAGCACCTCCTGAACCCCCAAATCACCAGAAATACCCTATACTAGCTAGGTTTTTGGGCGCAATCCTTCTTCTAATCCGCCTTCCTTCTCCTCCAGCCTGGCCTCACATCCCATCTCATCCCGCCACGCCACGGTGCCCGCAATACCAGCTGTGGCGCCCCCGTGCACGGTGGCAGCTCCGCCGCCGCGACCTGCCGCACCGCCGGCGCCGCCAGGCGCGTGGCCCAGTGGACGATGGCGGCGGCCGTGTCGGCGCGCTGGAGGTCCAAGCGAGCCTTGGGGCGCTGGAGGTCCAGGCGGCCCATGGCTGTGGGGAGGCAAGCCATTGAAACCCCCTTTAATCGCTTTAATGCCTTACGAATTCAAATAATAAAAGGACCTGCCAAACCACAGTTAAGACATGGGAGATCAATACTTAAAGGAGAAGTGGTTGGAGGAAAAAGAACACGGGCACAGCCTGGTTGTGTGTGACACCCTCAAACATTGGGGTCCGCCTGCTGCTCCGAAGCACGAGTGGCAGCGGAAATGGCTGGGTATATGTTACACAGTTTCAGTGGATGATGGTTATCCAACAGAGGTTGAAGGACCCTAGAGACTATCCCATAGGTACCCCAGTAGGGTCCTATAAGTTCACTTGACCTCCCTTGGATTAAAGACCTGTAGCAAACATATAGTGATAATCTTTTACCGGTACTGGCCGATGACTGGTAAACCACCCGGGACACGCGTAAAAAATCGCTCAAAAGGTTCTTTCGGTGAACTCCTCTACGGTCTTGGAAGATATGGAAGGTGCGTGTGTGTGTGCGCACCATGTGTCCACGGTCTTGGGTGAATCGTGAGGACCACGTGCGCCACGTGGGTGAAGATGTTGCATGGCGCCTTTCTGAACCAGTGAGTGACCTGGATTTCTGACATGGTTGACCAGTTTACTACACATTTAAGCCGAGGCCTATCGAATCTAAGCCTTAGAAGCTCAGGGCATGGATGAACATAGGAATGCTTAGTTCCCAGTGTCACACACTACCCGTCGAACGAAAGCACCGGCCCATGCTACTGTCCAACGGTCGGCCGTACCCATGCTGCTTGGATTTGCCCACGAGCCTACAGTGCCTTCAGAGTAGATGGCACTGGCACCCCAAGATGTCCTTTAGATGGATCCCTCTCAAAATCCAACACCTTCCTCAGGGGGATTCGGCCCATAGGGCCGATCAAGATCCCTCTAAGACTCTAAGCAAAACCTGCCGCCTGCCCCCCGTCCATGTCGCTTCTGCACCGAACCGACTTCCAGGCGCCGTGTGGTTGGCGCCCAGGAAGAAAAGCGCCGGAAACTCCTGTCCGTGCGTGGGCCACATCGATCGCACGGTCGACCACCCACTAGGGGTGGTCGAAGGCGGTAGTGACGGGCGTTCACGGACGTGAGTCATTCTGGATTGACATGAATCTTCTGAAACCGGCGAAGGTTGACCAGCCCAAGTGAGGGTGTTGTATCGAAACTCTGATTCGAGTCGGGCTTCCATGGGAGGCCTTATCCTAAAGCATTGCATGGGATAGCTACATACAGCTACCCCTTTTATGGCCCATTACGTAACTATTTCAAGCCCATGGATGGTCTGGGTACACTCCCGAAAACTAACATAGACCCTGACAATGGCCCCCTCTACCAACCAGTGGTTTACTTCTAGCAACCAGTGGTTTTCCGGGTCCATGTTAGTCTTCCAGGGTGTATGATCCTTGAATTCCTTGATGAACGCAAAACCAGCCGTCTTCGAGAGCCCAAACCCTCAAAGAAACACGCAGTCATCTGCTGTCATCTGCCAAAAACCGGTGGCCAACATACCCTATAGGGCTCCAACCATATCCTCACAAGGTGGTTAAGAAGGTGGTTAACACCATCACATATACGACCAGAACCAAAGGGCTCTCAGCAACCAATGATATATGACTCGTGTTCAACATGTGTTCAGCATGACCATTGGATGCAACCCACGGAGTTCCGGAAATCCTTGATGTCCTCCTATATCAACCGCAATCAGCCCTATAAAGGTTGAAACATGGTGGTTCTCCACATGAAGCTGCAAGCTCCTGGAGATGGACCATCACAGTTCCAAACGCTTACCCTCTTCACCCTCTGAATGTCGAGACTAGCCCAAACATGAATTGCAGCACCTGACTTCCAAGCCTTTTCTTTCGGAAATCAAGGCTAGCATGTTCCCATCTGTTGGGTTTGCCCCCAATCACCCCAAAAACTGTTGCCGCTTGTCCACTTTTTCCTGGCTAGGGTGCCACACCTCAAGCAGAATAGACTGAACCACACTTTTTTGACTTGTTCCTGCCACTTGTTCTCCGTCGCTGGAGGTCTTTTTTTTCTGCTTCTTCGTTTGACCTGGGGCGTGGTACCTCGCTTCGTCGTACCTCGCTTCGGGGCTCCTTGGCCCCAAGCTTCTGCATGGTCTGCTCCGCCTGTGTCCCATCGAGCGCTACCACCTGAAGGGACACGTGGAGTGCGAAAATGGCAAGAAGCAAAAATCCAGCAAACGGAGGAGCTGCATACGTGGTTGCAGGAAAGTTGAAGAAACAAAAACTTGGCTTGTTGGGAACAGTTGTCTATTTAGGTTCATTTAGGTTCTATATAGATGGGTATAGCTGTTTGTTATAGTGAGTCGGGTCTTGTCTTGTGGTAGAGGAGGGTCTGCTGCAGCAGAGTCTTGTGGGCTGCCGCGGAGTCTCTCGTGGTGTGCTATCTTCTCTAAATCTGTTTCATGTCTTGCTCTGCCCACACATAAGTAACCATGCAAAAGCAAAAAATGCATTCTTGCATCACCACCCGCTCCAAAATCACTAAAACATCACCTCGAAGAGTTTACGGGCCACCCCCCCCGACCCCCGACCGACTTCACACATAGATAATTCCCATCCACACTCAGATGAAGCAAAAGCCAAACAATGCACCAAAATTCGAGGTGGCCTGGGACCAGAGGCTCGCTGCCCGAAACTATATGTTCAGGCCACCTCAGAATCAAGATATGCGAAGCAAGGGTCCTGAGGTGTCTCTGTGACAAGGCTTTTGTTAAAACAGACAGTTTTTCAAGCTAAATTCAAGGTGGCCTGAGACCAGGGTTTGCTGCCCTAAAACACTCTGTTCAGGCCACCTTAAAAATGAAGGTCTGCGAAGCGAGACCAGAGGATGCACATTGTCCTTCTGTTGCTTGAATGTGGCCTTTTGTTTACGTAAAAGTTCAAGACCTCCCAGCTGTTTCCACCTCTTCGCTTCCCAGTCTTCCCAGGGTTCATATAGGGAGCCAGGCCATTTTCAGAATCTTCTGGATTTGAGCTGTTCGAGTTCCTATTGAAGGGTATAGTTGGCGAGTGCGTCACCACCCGCTCCAAAAGCATCAAAGCATCACCCCCCAGAGTTTACGTATATCTTTCTCCAAGAGTTTACGTATACCTTTCTCGGGCCACCCCCCCGCGACCCCCGACCGACTTCACACATAGATAATTCCCATCCACATTCAGATGAAGCAAAAGCCAAACAATGCACCAAAATTCGAGGTGGCCTGGGACCAGAGGCTCGCTGCCCGAAACTATATGTTCAGGCCACCTCAGAAATGAAGATATGCGAAGCAAGGGTCCTGAGGTGTCTCTGTGACAAGGCTTTTGTTAAAACAGACAATTTTTCAAGCTAAATTCAAGGTGGCCTGAGACCAGGGTTTGCTGCCCTAAAACACTCTGTTCAGGCCACCTTAAAAATGAAGGTCTGCGAAGCGAGAGCAGAGGATGCACATTGTCCTTCTGCTGCTTGAATGTGGCCTTTTGTTTACTTAAAAGTTCAAGACCTCCCAGCTGTTTCCACCTCTTCGCTTCCCACATTTTCAGAATCTTCTGGATTTGAGCTGTTCGAGTTCCTATTGAAGGGTATAGTTGGCGAGTGCGTCACCACCCGCTCCAAAAGCATCAAAGCATCACCCCCCAGAGTTTACGTATATCTTTCTCGAGCCACACATGCACAGCAAACCACAGCTTTGAAGTCTCATTCGTGCTTTGAACTTGTATAGGTGTGTAAGAGGTATAGCAACATAGCATTTATACGGACCCAGGGTAGCTACAATTCTGTTCCCAGGTATCGCGCGCATGAGGCTTCAAAGCTGTGGTTTTCAAGCTAAATTCACGGTGGCCTGAGACCAGGGTTTGCTGCCCTAAAACACTCTGTTCAGGCCACCTTGAAAATGAAGGTCTGCGAAGCGAGAGCAAAGGACTTTCCACCTCCTCGCTTCCCAGTCTTCCCAGGGTTCATATAGGGAGCCAGGCCATTTTCAGAATCTTCTGGATTTGAGCTGTTCGAGTTCCTATTGAAGGGTATATGTTCTCATTGGCGAGTGCGTCACCACCCGCTCCAAAAGCATCAAAGCATCACCTTCCAGAGTTTACGTATATCTTTCTCGAGCCACACATGCACAGATCGTGCTTTGAGCTGCTATAGGTGTGTAAGAGGTATAGCAACATAGCATTCATACGGACCCACGGTAGCTACAATTCTGTTCCCAGGTATCGCGCGCATGAGGCTTCAAAGCTGTGGATTGCTGTGCGTGTGTAGAGGTCATCGAGCGGTTGACGGAAAGGGAACTCGAAGTACTATACCTGGTAGCTGCACTATAGCTACTCTGGGTCTCTATACCTGGCAAGGTGCCAACTACACCTTTCCATTTAGATGATGCAAATGATGCAAATTGCATTTCTTGCATCGCCACCCCTCAAAAATCACCTCCAACACAACCTCAAAAAACCTTCCCTCGACGCACCCTCCTCCCCCAGCATGTGCCGAGTTTACGTGTACCTTTTGCGGGCCACCCCCCCCAGACCCCCTAACTACTCACTTCGTTCGCCAAACACAACTCCGCTGGCGCCTTCTACGAAGGCTGGCTTTCGTAACAGTCCAACAGCCAGTTTGACTTCCTGTTGCAGCTTGGGGGAGGTTTGATGTGGTCCGTGTTCAGGAACCGAGTTCCGGGCAGACTCCCGATGTGAGAGCCACCGAGTCACCGAACCACCGAATTCATCGAAAAGCCTCAAGGAGTCTCGATTCACCCACCCGGCGCCTTCTCACCGATCTTCACCCGTCCACGCGACCGCGACCCGGTTTCTCGACGCGCCTTGATCTCCGTCTCTGCCCGCAAGCGCGACGCCGCGGCGTTCATCCGGGGCGCCTGAGCGGGGTAGGCGGAGCAAAAGTGAAGGTCTGCAATTAAAGTACCACCAATAATACCTGCTGCACCTATTTTTGCCAATTGTTCAATTTTGGTGAACTTGGATCTGATAAATTGCTGGCTGAGGAATTGGCACACCATATAGAAACATCTTGATTTTGCGGAGATTCACCGGATAGGGAACGAAAACAAAGAGACATCAGTGGATCCGCAAAGACCTTTCTGGCATGGTGTGCCATCCTTACCGCCTTACCGATATGAACTCAGTTCAACCTCACCATCTACAAGGGCGATTCCTTCAGCAAAAAGTCTTGTCAACATGCCCGCCCAGCCTCCAAACCCCAAGAACCAACTGCCCCAACCATAGAAACTTGAAGAAACCTATAGAACACCCTCGCCAGGAGCCATGACATATTAGATCCTGAATCCTGGGAATAAGAAACATGGCCATGGCTTAATTATATATACGTGCTAACACCCACATGCTTGGATTTGCCCAAGGATCCAGGAAAAACTAAAAAATATTCCCAATGATGTCCCCATAGGGGAAATAAAACATCATCCGATCTGCACAAGCAGGCATGTCACCAGTGCTTTCCCATCTTCCATGGAACCGCTCAAACCAGAGCAGTTCCTCCTCGATCCTCCTCGTGCAGGGGGTGACCACGCACCCACGACCACCGAGCGGCAATGGCTTGGCAGGCGGGGCAGGTGGGCGAAAAGATCTCCAAGAAGATCGGAGGGCGATCCGCTTGGCTCAAGACATAGTTCAACTTCTCCTGGTGCTCCGCGTCGCCCCCGGGCGACGAGTGCAGCGTCGGAGTACTGGTGACTCGAAGGCGTGCTCGCTTGGTTGGTGGCGGTGCCGGTGGGTCTGATGGTTCACTGTCGGATGGTGAGGATGATGGTGGTGGAATGTGTGGCACGCCAACAATTCTGGCTTTAGGTAATGTGGCACTCTCTTCCTCGATGCTGGATGAGAGTGGAAAGGCAGCTTGTGTTGGCTGAAGAGGTCGAGGTGGATTGCCAAAGCCAGGCAGTGGAGGATATGCCGGTGGTGGTAGCAGCGGTGTGAGGATCGTGTAGATATCGTCGAGTAAAGCTGCAGCTTTCCGGAGGTAGAAGGCGATCTGCACCAAGTTGACTGCATTGGATCATGAGGTAGAGCATGATGGATTGGAGCAGTAGTAGGACGTGCCATGATGGAGTGCAAGATGAATGTAAAGGCCGACTGACCAAGAGATCAATTGGCTCGCTTGAGAAACGATCATGCCTGGGTGACGAACAGTGAAGTACGGTGCCGTCGTGGCTTCGGGTTCAACTGGTCCCATGAGAATATCCAAACAGGACCAATGGGACTTGGCATACTTACATAATCTTACATACATTGGGGTGGTTGAAAAGGGGTCAATGAAGGTAAATATGCCGTTCTTGGAGTGCCTGGGGTGTGGAATGCTAGAAGGGCCGATGCTAGGTGCAATCTACTGGGGTTGGTTAAAGCCACCAACCAAGGGCCTAGGCCAGGTCATGGGACTGCAGCGGGTTTGGCCCGGGCTGCACGAAGGGGGCCAGAAGGGAAGGACCAAGTGCAGGATTGCTTGTCATCTCATGGTGTAGTCCACTAAGTAATCCAGTTTTGAATGTGGCACTTAAGGCGTATTTGACAACTGCTATTGATAACTTTATAATAGCTATTAAAACATATACCAGCACCTTCCAACAGGTCTCCTAAAAGTCGCAGGTGGTGACCTGTTGGAGGGGTGTATTGTATATATATATATTTATTTATTTAACGCACACATATATATATATACGATATATATATATATATTATAATAATTCACAGTATATGGAGTCCATGTTGGTCCCCCATAGAACGGAATGGTTCCCAAGACATGTTGAAAGGGGTTCCATTGCTCCATCCATTTGGAATCGTGCTACTGACTTTCAAGCCTTACTAAGTCCACCAATGATACATTCAGGACCCGTAGCCTTCCGAAAGCGAATGAACAAATCGTACACCCATACAATCCCAAGATGTACTTTTAGCACCCCTAGGGATCCAAGTGAGGTGATGTGTTCGACACTGTGATGTAGGTTTGGGGAAGTCCTTCTGAGAAGGTACGACTGGATCCCTAGGGTATATACATTGTTATTATGTTCTTCGACTTCTTGGCTCCATTGCACCCTTTGGGTCCACGCCCCCACCTGACTCGACCGTCGTCGTTGGGTGCCCCAGTGGGTGCTCCACCGTTCAATAGCTCAAAAGGTCACAAGCTGGATGTGTTTCTTGCCTCTTTATGCATGCAAAATATAATAGGTGGACATGACGGTGGACATGTCGTTGTGAGAAACGCTGTCAAGAATTGCACACAGGTCAGCCTCAAAGGTCCGATACCTGAGGGATGCTCTGACCCTCGGGATGCGTCGGATGCGTCAGTTCAATCCCCCGGTGCGGCGGGTCACTGCGGGCTGCCCCAGACTGCTGCAGCTAAGCGGATGCGCCGGGTGTAATAGTTAAACACAAGCATCCATGAGCCATCCCTGACCATAAACAAAGTTATGAAGGATGTCTTGACTCCCAGATTTGAAAAATCCTTTGGCTGTCTTCCCTGTCAAGAACACTTTGAAATAATATATCGAACAAAATCCCAAACAAAAATCAAGAATACACTCGCCCGAAGCTCCTCGGTGTATTTCACGATGTGCTTTCCCAGCTTCACATTTCCTGAGGCCAAGTGTAAGCCGAGTCTTGTACCAAGGAACCTGGCAGAAAAGAGGGAAGCAAGGAGGAAGGCCTTCGTTTTCTTTTTTGATATCATGGCGCCAATTGAATCAATGCCCTACATGCAATGATCGATGCATCGGGACGGAACATTGAACCCCGAATCCAGCTGCACAAAACTGGCCCCTTCGTTAGCACCAACATTGGTAGCCTGACTCGCTCCATTGCCTTTTACAAGGCTAGGTGATCCACCTGTTGGATTTGAGTATAGGTGCCCCCAATGGGTCCCAAAATGCTGTTTCAGCAGGTTCTCTACTTTTCCTCTGGTGGGTGAATTTGGGGAGGGGTGCCTCATAGCGAAGACATGTGACATCGGACCCTCAAGACCCTCAAGAACTTGGGTGTGCGTCTGACGATCGGGTGACTCGCTCCCATGGTTTTGGGTTCCAAACACCGGAAGCTTGGCCAAAAGGAGGTCTTCCCAATGTTGAATGCATGGCCCATTCCGATGATTTGGACGGAGTTGGGGGGCCCTGGAGGAGCCTGTAGGGAGACTCCGACGTCAATACTCCCATGTTCCCCGAAAGCGAACAATGAACAAGCCAGTTGCTGAGTGTGAGACCAAAGTCATCATGGCATCATGCACCTACCTACTTGCCAAGCTTACGGAATGGAAAGCCAAAGGTAACATGGAATCTGCCAGTGGTTGGGACGTGTCCGATTTAATGTCTGCGTACTATCAAACTGCAAGGGCAGGTAGATATCTCCGAGATCTTTCAAGTGTCCGAGGGCAACAGGCCAGCAAATGGCCAGCAAAAGCCGCAGCAGCACCGCCATGGAAGATGTCTCACCCAAGGCCGCTGAGACAGCAGTCTCGAGGCAGCGCTTCAAGTGGAAAACCAAGCGAACGAAACTGATTCAATCCGTTTGGCTGTGGACCAAGACCGAAAGTGAGGCGGAGATCAACCCCCTACAGACACGACCTACATGCTTTTGGCGGTCCAGAGTTGGAAAAAAGACACATTTCTTCCGTCCACTTCGCCCTGGGACAGCAACCCGCGGGCAGCAACATCGGTGGTTGAGGTCGTGCGCCCAAAGACTCAAGGGGTGTTGGAACCGCTAGCGGCACGCATTCTTTTGGGATCACTCCTCTCTAAGATTCGGAGGCCAAAACATTCTCCATAGTTCGAGGGTTCCCATGTCCAACCTCGATGCCCCTAATCCATCGTCAGGGCAGGTGAGACGCCAAGGCATGTACCTTGTTGTCCTACATGGCGGGGCTTTTCCTTGGATCCTCAAAACTCGCAAGCGGACGTCCGCGCGGAGGTTGGGGGGCGGGTGGGTGAGTGTGGGCACGTGACGCCGAAAGGCACATGGATGGAACTGAACTCTTCTGACTCCCAAGCCGTTTCCCTGGAAAGTGGTCAATCCCAGACACTCCATGGGACTGCCATATATGCCGCCCCATTGAGCCCCCCAAACCAGCCCAATGTACTGTAGGCATATCTGGCAGTCCCCTGGAGTGTCTGGGGATTGTCAGTTCAGTCTGCCGGTGCCAGTCACAGCTTTGGAGCAGGTCTAGGGCTCACAACATGTTTTTGACTTGGCCCACACTTTGCCGTCAAACATTCCCTATTGCTTGAAAACAGTCTATACAGCAGCAAGGTCTATGGGATCAAAGTGAATATGTGGGATATGTAGGGTATGTGATGCCTTGAAGCACCTGGATCAATTAGAATTAGAACATGACTGGAATGCAAAAACAACAGGGACCGGGACAATTGTGACAAGAGCAGAAAACCCCTGAGCGCCATCAAGACCCATAGTGGAAAATGGTTCATGTATGTTCATGTATTCATGTTCATGGGGAGTCTGTTCTTCAAACCATCGGCCCTCATGAGGTCTTGGGCGCCTCTTCATCGGGCCTCTGACCTTCGACTGGTTCTACTTGGGTTTGCTGTGGAAGCCGGGTGAAGATTCACCAGAATACGGGGTTTTACCCATAGGGAAAGTACAGTAACAGATCAGCATAGATCAGCATTCAGCAGCACTAATATATTATATAGGTTTATATGAGATAGTTTGTGGTATTTTTGCACTACTGCCCAGCCAGGTCCCACCCTCACCATGCTCTTGGAAGGCCCACCAGGCACGATGGAAGCCATGCTCTTGGAGACCCGAACGCCCCCGGAGCAACAGGGCTTTCACCACGAGCTCGGCGACCGGAAAGCCCAGCCTTAGAGACGCGATCGGGGTTCAACCGGTCTCAACGACTGGGTGACCGGTCAGATGCCTGTTCACCTGTAGGGTCTCATCTTCCCATGTCCAATCCAAGTTAAACTATACCCAGGATGCTCCGGAAACACAGCCCGAATGACTCAACCGGTCCCTCCAAACCGATAGAGCCCAGAACCCCATGAATCCTGCCCCGTTCGGATTCCGGGTTCCGACCGGGGTCGAAGACTCCGCTCCGGACTCCACGCCGGGCTCACGCGCGGCGCGTGTCAGCGGGTCCAGCTGGGCCGTCCGGACCCTTTGCGGTCGATCTCGCGAGCCTCGGCAAAGGCTGCTACCCTACAGACGTCCAAGAAGGAGATGATCGATATATACCATCATATACCTATAGACCACTCTATAGGCTGCGCCCGGACATCTCATCACAACCTTCGGACCTTCGGCCCCCAGTTCAAACATTAAATACTTTCACCTCCCCTTCGGCGCTCTCCTCAAACGGGTGTGGCAACGCATGCGGTTCCAGCCCGGCCGACCCCGAATTCGTCCGGGACAGCACACGGCCGGCCGCATGTGTTCGGTGCTCGGTGGACGGAGGTGGTAGTGGACGTTTAAGGTGGACCAGCACCTAAACACCAGTCTCCTCTGGTAATTTGTGACCTGTTGGAGGGTGCTGGTTTACTTATAAGTTGCGACCTGTGTTTTGGAAGATATTGGTTTTTGGGTCATTTGTGGCATGTCCGTGGCGATAGGAGTTGCAACCTGTGTTTGATGGCTGGAACTGAACTCAGGTTCCGTATACGTTCAACCTGGACCCTCCCGATCTCGTGTCCCAAAGTGATAAGTAGTTGGTGTCCAGAAACCCACCGCCGTTGGAAGGTTCTGGAACTAGCAGTATAGTCAGTAGTCTTCGCTATCACTAGGGCTCCTGTACCACAATCCTGAGAAGGTAGGGACAAAACCCCGTGACACCCACCCCACCCCACCTTCGTTTCGGATGTGGGACAACGGCCGCCACCACGGGCACACCGTCTGAGCTTGTCGGTGGGTCTACGTTCGTCTCGTCTTCAACTCGGACCGAAAAACGGTCGCACACATCGGCGCACATCTCCCTCGGACCTGGCCAAGCTGTTTGGAGACCCGACGAAAGGTGGTTTCTGGGCACCGGACTTGTCACCAGGAAGCACCTGTGAAGTCGGGTGCTGTTCTATATTATGCGATCCCAAAAATGCCCCGTGAGGGAAGGTGATTGGAGACTGGCTCGGAAATAACCACGAGTACCTTCAAAAGATCCCTATACGGAGACTATTGTGTCTCGCCCAAGCCTACTCCCCAACCTTTATCTCCTTCTCACTCTCCTTCTCATCGGCTTTCCCAGCAAAGGAGCCTTCTGAGAGACAGCTTTCACGAAGCCCTCCGAGGCCACCAAACGCGTGGCCATCCAATTGGCCACCTTAGTAGATAGTAGATGATAGTAGGTGGACTTATATATATATATACATTATATATATATACAGTATATATATTTGGTATGAATAGTTTATATTGATACTTAGTACATGCATAGTTAGTATTATACAGTATATAAATACTGTGGTAGATGATAGCAACACCATCCGTTCTGGGTCTTGTGGCTGGACAACCCAGTCTGCCATAGTCTGCCCATGTAAAACGAGGGCTCAGGGCCTCCATGCATCATATGGATGACACGGAGAGCCAGACCATGAAGTTTAGTCAGTTGACGCATGCGTTCTTCAAAGAAGCCCAATTGGATCCACAGCTAAATCATCACCAAACAGGACGTTCAACCAAACGCTGCACCCGCGGAAAACAGGTCTTTGCAAAGGAGACCGGCCTTGCTATCTCCGGCTCTAAGTGTCTATATGGTCCTTTCGGGAGGGGGTGAGCCTGGCCGGACACCAGGCCGGACATCGTTCTTCGGCCTGAGGTGTTTGGTCTGCGACGTGTGACACTTTAGATCCAACAAATGCCAGAAAGCCACCTGGTGGTTGTCCTACAACAATGCTCCCCAGAAAAATTGGCCCCCGAATAGTTTGTGCTATCTCACAGGGCTCCTTTCTGAGTGATCAGCAGTGAGGAGATTGATCACCAAAAAGAAGATGTCCAGAATCGCAGCGATGCGTGCCACTAGCACCTGAGTCACATGTGTCAAGGTCACGCACGAAGGTCTAGAATGGTCTAGACACACCACTTGTGATGCTGGATGCTGGCTGCATGGGCTGAATAGCAGCAAATGATTGATTTAGCGATGATACAAACTTGGCATTGCACTCCCCACGTGGATGGAAAACGGCACCGGTTTCAGATGACCTTGAACTCCGAGGACCAAACATAGAGTGGTTTTGCACTCCGCTTCATGTGTATGGTCGAAACTTGTGGGATGCATGCCGCAGAAACGTCGCACCCTGATCGGGCATAGGATATATATCCCAGGGCATCCAGTTACCACTATGACTGGTAACCAGTGGTTGCAAAGACTAAAACCATAGACCTAGAACCACTGGTTCCTCATATAGTGGTAACTGGGCTGCACTGGATATGGTTTGTTTCATGTCATTCTTCACATCTTGTCGTACAGAAACAGGGACCTCGTGCAAGTGTTCCCTTACACTCCCATACTGCCCACAAATTCCCTTCTTGCTGTGAAGTTGACCAGTGGCTCCTTCCGAAACATCTCCCTGGCCCTCCTTCCTTGATGTTCTTCCGCTGGTCACGCGACCGCAGAAACGCCCCACATGAAGAGGTCACGTGACCGCGGCCGCTGGGGCGCCCCGGCACTCGCCCAGGCTCCGCAGAAGTTGGCGCCTTGGCGAGCGCGTCGTGTCGAGGTGCGCCCCGCGCGAGGTGCGTGGCACGTCTGACGTGTAAAGGGCCGATGGGCCCCAAGACACCGAGCCCGGGAAGCTGTAAGGGATGATGACTCTGAGCACCCGAAAAGCGACTTGCCACAGGCAAGAGGCAAATATCTTCGCTTGTTTGTTCTGGGCTATGTTGTAAATCTTTGTATAGTGTTCGGTGTGAACGTCACTATATGGTGAATGGTGATGGCACTCCAGAAAACTGCCAAACCATGGCACGTTGCACGGCAGTTCAACGAAACAGCATGCTCCCTTGGAAGCCATCTGCATTCCGGCTGGAAATACAACTCAGAAACCAAGGAACATTGGGCGATTTCAGGTATCCTAAAAGATCTTCCTCTTCCCCACTGACGGTCACCGTTGTATGCCCCTCTCCCCAACGAGAGGGAGCCAAAGCGAAACCGTTTGGGCGCCCACAACCCCATCAGGTCGGGAAGAACGTCTCGTCTTCGCACTGAGAGCCCTGCACTGCGGCACAGGGGGTCATGTTCTGCCTCACAATGAGGTATCCAAGGATAAGGATTGGATAAATGGTGCCCCTCTCTTCCCCACTCAAACATGTACAATGTGGACTCCGTCGAGAGAACACCTGCGGGAACCCCCTCCCATGTAAAAGACGCACACCCTTTTAACACTTCCTACACTTGGATATGTACTTGTTTCCATTCTGGTCTTGCCATTCTTCCCCATCTTGCTGGAACTTGGCCTTCCTTTTCCGTGCTCTTC